TAGCCGAACCTCGACTTCTGCTTCAATCTTAACTCTTCAACGGACGCCCATTTCTTCTTCTTCATCGCCCTCCTCCCTCGCTCCAGTCGGTCACGCTTTTCAAGTACGAAATTTTCTGTTTGAGATTTATTTATTTTATTTAAAATCAAAACACGCATGACAGTTTTTCAATAGCATGCGAAATATTCTGTAATAGTGCAGACTGTGTACCAACAGTTTCTCAAATAGTCGATGGGGCCCTGACGTCTTAGCTGGGCCGTGCCTAAGACTAGACAACACTTCGGCCTGCTTTTTCACTTTTTACTCATATATTAGTGGCTTCCTCTCGTGTCTTTATCTGGCAATCTATTCATATCTAATTCTCTTCTCGTAATTACATCATACCAATTTACGTTGCCATTTGCGAACAACAGTTTGGCGATAATGACTTTAAGTGACAAGTATTAAAGTATGCATACCAACAATGTTAAGCTTGTAATTTCAAGCGAAATTGAGACTAGTAACTATGGCAAGTGAGTGATAGTTTATTGAATGCGCCTTGAAATGTTTGAGTCCTGGTTTCCTTCTATCATCTAGATCAAATCATAATCCCGTAGTAGATTGCAAATTTGAATTCATTCAAGTGCTAGCAAGATCATTTTTGAGAAGATTAAGCAAAAATCCAAATTTGGTGTCTCAGTTTTATTTTTATATTTTTACCTCATCTTCATTTTTATTGGGAAAACCACAGTAAAGGACATCTGAAACATTTTATTTACAAAAAAGGATAAAAGGATTATAAATTCAATTTACAAGACTAATGAACTAAAATATAATTAAATTTTAGTATGAAAAAATAAAATTATCTCTCCTTTTTTGAAAAGAAAATTTTCCCACTATCATCGGTGGCTAGACCGCTCACCAAAACTTTGGTGCTGAATTGATAAGGGAGACAGATTAATTTTTTTAAGATGGTCAGGGGGTTTGAGCTCACATTCTCTTAACTACCAAAAAGATAGTAAGCCATTAGATTGATAATTTCTTTCAATTATATAATACAAATATTTATATATATTTTTAACTTTATTTTCACTTTTTATATTAATACTTATCAGGAATTTAATGATCACTTGTCATTTTATAAATAGCTGCTCATTAAATTATTAATAGAACCTGTTAAATATGTTAATATACACTGCTTTTTATAAATATTTACTTATTTTATTTAAAAAAATTACAAGTTTTCATTGAACATTTAATAAATAATTATTTATAAAAGTGGCAAGTCCCGTTACTAACTTTAAGTATTTCTTTTAATTGTGAAATGATAAATACATATTAATAATTTAATAAATAATTATTTGTGAAATGAAATATCGTATTATTGGTTTTGAAAAATTTTCTTAATACTCTAATAAGTAAATTTTAATAAAATAACAAGTTCATATAAGCTTTTAGTAATAAAAATAAATAAATATTTATAAGAACTACTCAGTATTAAATTTCTTTAACAAGTTCCTATTATTAATTTAACAATTAACCATTTATAAAGTAAAAATTCCCATTACTAACTTTCAAAATTTCTATTAATATTTGACAAGTAAAATTTAGTAAAATAACAAGTTTATATAATCTTTTCACATATCAATATGAACTTGTTAAATGAACAATGTAAATTTTTATATATACTTTACTTTGTTTTCACTTTCTATGATAATATTTGTCAGGAGCTTAATAGTTACTTGTTATTTCGTAAATGACTACTTGTTAAATTACAAATGAAACTTGTTAAAAAAATTTAATATGCATTGATTTTTATAAATATTTACTTATTTTTATTACCAAAATAGTACATGTCAAAAGCTTATGTAAACTTGTTATTTTACTTAATTTTACTTGTCAAATTATCAAGAAAATTTTTTAAAACTAGTAGTAGGACTTGTCATTTCATAAATAGCTAATTGTTAAATTAACAATGAGGACTTGTTAAAAAAATTTAATATAGAGTGATTTTTATAAATATTTACTTGTTTTTATTATCAAAAGCTTACATATTAAAAGCTTATATGAATTTATTATTTTACTAAATTTTTTGTTGTCAAATTATCAAGAAATTTGTTTAAAGCTGGCAATAAAATTTATCATTTTACAAATAGTTACATATTAAATTTTCAATGAAGACTTGTCATTTTTGATAATAAAAATAAATAAACATTTATAAAAACTAATAGATATTAAAAAATTTAACAAGTCTCCAATCGATAATTTAACATAGAACTATTTACAAAATGACAAGTGACCATTAAGGTCCTAAAAAACATTAGTATGGAGAGTGAAAACAAACTAAAATATCTATGACAATTTGCATTGTTTATTTAACAAGTTCATATTGGCAGGTCAAAATTTTATATGACCTTATTATTCTATTGAAATATCCTTGTCAAATTATTAAAAAAAAAATTTCAAAGCTAGCAATGGGACTTATTATTTCATAAGTGATTACTTGTGAAATTATCAATAGATACTTATTATTATTTGCAATAAAAACAAGTAAATATTTATAAAAATCAGTATATAATAAAATTTTAACAAATTTCATTAATAATTTAATAAGTAATCATTTATAAGATGAGAAGTAATTATTAAACTCTTGATAAGTATTGACATGAAAAATAAAAATAAAGTTAAAAATATATAAATTGAAGGAATTGCCAACCTAGTGATTAACTATTTTTTGATTGTAGATGCGGGTTCAAATATCTTTTGGGCCACCTTAAAAAAATAAATTAATTTGTCTTCCTCACCAGCTTGGCGATGATAAGGAGAACTTTTTTTATATTAAAAATGAAGAATAATTTTATCTTTTAACACTAAAATTTAATCGCATCTTGATTTATTGGTGTGTAAAGTGAATTTTATTGTTTTTAAAATTAGACCGAACCGATTGATCAAACCGGCGGCTCGACTGCATGTCCAGTTTCATTTTTTGTTTTAATGTGGATTAAGCTCCCAAGCTAACTCGGGGACCCGGAATTAACCCGACTTCAGTTCTTCGACCTTCATCTCTTGATCGCTTGGTCTCTTCTCAGCTCTCATCTGTCGTCCGTCATCCCTAAGCAGTGGCTCTTCTGTGACTGCAAACGTTCGTGCCTCACCTTGTCTCTTGGCGCTAGTTGTCTGCTCGCCCACCAGAAGATTGAAGAAGATGAAGAAAGAAGAAGACAAAATAAGAATATGAAGAAAGAAGACGGCAGAAGAAGAGGAAGAAAGAAGATAAACAAGCAGGAAAGAAAGAAAACAACAGAAAGTGCGACCGGCAAAACTAAAATGAAATATCAACGGTGGAGGGATTCAAACCTACAAAACATAGGCAAAGAAAATATTGGAGCTCGTGAAGCCTTTGAAATTTTAACAAATTACTATAAAATGTGGAATTACTATTTTATACTTTAAGAATATTAAAATAACAAAAAATTGTGTGCAATGTACGTGCGCACCCGTGTGATGGGACGAATAGAACCTAATATATATTTACATATTGCCTTCCAAATTGTGGACTTGCGTTGGGAAAGCAATCAATTTTTAATTTATTTCAATGTTATTTTTTATATTTCTTATATTATATTATCTTTGATTAATTTAGAGTAATGTTGTTGTGTTTTTTTATTATTGTTAAAACTATTTTCATATGTTGTATAAGATATTAAATCTTAGATATGAATAAGTGTATCGAGAATTAATGGATTTTTATTTAAATTATATTATTTTATTATAATCAATTTGATTTTAATTTGTTCTTGATTCAATTTTTATTGAACTCTTAATTCTTGACTTCTAACCTCCGCGGACTTAATAATGGGTTTGATTTTTAATATTTTAATAAATTAAGAATCATCTTGCTCTCTCATGTAAATAAAATGTTTCAAAAGGCCTTCACAGTGATTTTTCCATTTTTAGTTAACATCACTATATCTTGCTCATATTGTCAGCCTATTCTGCAAAGTTCGTCCACCGTTAATAACAGCAAGTACAGTTGGTAGGTTCTATTTTGCTATTTAATACATAAATTTATACAATTAACAAGAGTACATGGTGGTACAAAGGGTGAGCATTTGATTACTTCGGTTTTAATTTTTTAAGATTGATCGATCAAATTATATAAAAAATTTAAATTAAATTAAATAAAAATATTTGATCAAGTCAAATTATAATAGTTTGATTCAATTAGACCATTCGATTCATATGATTTAATTTAAGCTTATGAAATCTAATTGTTTTTACATTTTTTTATCCAATTTTTTTCTTGATATTGAAGGCCCAAGAAAAAACATAACAATTTTATGCCATAATCAATGAAAAAATTAATAAAATTTAATATTATTGTATTAAAAATTAAATTATAAAAATAAAAAATTTAAAAATCATATTAAACAAAAACATAATACTATTGTAAGTGATAGAAAAATATTTCTTACTTATCTAAGTGAGAATTCATTCACATTTTTAAAAATATGAAAATAAAATATATATAATTTAATTGATTTAGTTTATTTAGTTAAAAAAATTTAAATTGAATTGAACTAATCAATTATTTTTTTTAAAAAAAATTGAAGTGAACCAAAAAATTAAATAAATTGAATTAAATAAATAAAATTTAATTTGATTTGGTTAGACTTTTAATTTTGATTCAGTTTTATTTAGCTCTAATGGCACGTCCATAAGGCGTGCTGATAAATTTCTTGATTTTGACAGCTGCATCAATTTAGGTCATAAAAGATGACGTGTCTCTTCTCCCAATTTATTAGATGTGCAAATTTGGTCAACTCACTCAATTGAGGAAATGAATAAATATGCGAAACATGAGTTGTCGCAGTATATTTCTAATTTTAATAATAGCTTTGACCCAGAAATACGCCGGGAAGCCCAAAATTAGGCCCGCTAATCTGTTCAGAAGAGGAGGCGACTTTTCTTCCAAGTTTCGGCTGCAAATAATAAAATAGCGAGGCCCATTTCAGGAACACTGGGATAACTGGTGATGTAGATCGAGTGCTGGCAATTGGTGATGCCAGGGGAAGGGAGAAGCGTAGCGCCACGCATCGACTACTTCTCCCGCTTTGACTCCCCGCATCGTCACAACATGGACCACCAGGAGCTACCCCCTCCTTCTCTTCGATCTTATCGAACCCTAATCTGATCTTCTTCCCCCTAACCGAAGCCAATCCCAATTTTTTCTTTGTTTCCCACCCTTTCTACCCCAACTTAGCCTCTTGCCATGCAACCCTGTTTCTCCTCCAACGCCCTCCAGAGAGAGGACCCTTTTTATTCCCCCAGAAATTTGGCTTCTTTTCCGTATAGTATCGTCCAATTCACCAGCTATGTCCGCTGATACTCATGTCCCTGCTTCCAGGGTTATTCTCTGCAATGCTGGGGCCGGTGCCGCTGCCGGTGCGTGTTCTTTTACCAATGCATTCATATATACGACTCCTTTTTTTTTTTTTAATTCTGTACAATCTCGTGGTTTTCTTATTTGTTTTCGTCGGACACGCCATCTGAGATATTACATAGAGAATACATTTAAACGGATGCAGGAGTTATTGCTGCCACGTTTGTATGTCCATTAGACGTCATCAAAACCAGGTTTCAGGTTCATGGGCTGCCACAGCTCGCTAATGGAAGTATTAAAGGTATCTCCTGTACTGTACTGATTTATTTCATTCACAATAATCTTTTTTTAATTAGCAAAACAAGAGAATGGAGGGCGTATTCTGCAGATCATAAATAAGATTTGTCTTGTCTATTCCTTCTAGAATTTCAGTTTTGAGTCATGGTTCCTAGATTTGGAGCACCGCTTATCTGTATTTGTTACATAATAAGAATACCCGCGCTAGAGTCCCATTGCAACTTGTAAGAGCTCGTTAGTCGAACGACTGGATTAGATTACTTGAATTTCGATGGTTCATCTGAAACAGATCGGGTGTGTCTGTTGTCACTTGTCAGGCAGTCTAATAGTTGGTAGCTTGGAACAAATATTTCACAAGGAGGGGTTTCGTGGCATGTACCGCGGTCTGGCTCCAACTGTGCTGGCTCTACTCCCAAACTGGGCGGTAAGTCTATTTCTTTCTTTTTCTTGAAAGCTTGTTCTCACCCTCTGATTTGTATGATGACTAGTCATTAAACAAATTTTCGTTCCAACTCCGTAAATACCCGAGGCTCACTCTGAAATGTCTAGTTGTTGGCTGAGTATATAAACTAGCAATTTGAACTGAAGTTGGTGAGCCATGGAGATAAATATTTAATTAATGCTTGTTGTAGTAGCATTAATGGTGGCTTCGTATTGAGTTAACCTTATAAATTATGAAGTATAATCCTGCCAACCTCTGATTATAGCTGTTTTGATTGATTAAGTTACGTGATAGAATTCCTCTGATTTCTTGCTGTTTTTGTGTGTGTGCATGATGGAAGAGAGGGTCCAAGGGTTCATCTTAAAATAGAAAACAAACGAATATAAGTGATCATCAAGCTTAGGCCTGCTGGATGTCAATATTTCCTGCACTAGATTGGCCTACAGTTGCATTATAGATTTTATTGACTCTACAAATCTCTTTTCTTTGCTTGTGTGAGCCCGTTTCCACTGTTTTTGGGAAAGTAGAATGCTGATTTTGTCAGCTTGTATTTTACTTGTTTCAATTTATTAACTTTCAGGTTTATTTTACCATTTATGAGCAGTTTAAGAGCCTTCTCTGTTCCAATGGTTAGTCCTTTATTGGTTATTTTTCTTTTCCTGTTGGGGTTAACAAGAGATTTGTTTAAGCATAATTTTTTTTTTTTGGTTGATAAAATGCTTTCTATTGTTCTGTTCTTAAGCTTGCCAGGTGCTGCCAATCAAATTCATTTTTATAGATGTATGAATGTTTAAAGGCCATTTTATATATATATTTGCAGATGAACACCATCATCTCCCAATTGGAGCTAATATGCTAGCTGCTTCTGGTGCTGGGGCTGCGACTACCATTGCTACAAATCCACTTTGGGTTGTCAAGACCAGACTTCAAGTGTGTCCCTTCATTTTTTGCTGCAACTTGTTGTATTATCATCAATATGAATATGCTATTACATTTATTTGACTTAATTTGTCGGTTCCACTGAGTGTTTATTGCTTAGAGATATGCTATTAGTGGTTTATTGTTTGTTTGTTTTCAATATATTGGTTATGGAGCACAACTTTGGACACGCGTATGTAATTATTATATGGGAAAAATCTATGAGCATTTCATTTGTTAAGCAAGCAACCATTCCTATTGGTATTTTCAAGCATGCGAACATTCCTATAGTAGCATCTGTGAACTTTATTTTGCTTGTATGTATTGTGTGTTGGATTCATAATGGGCCACTAAGACTAGGGGTTGACATTTTCTGTACCTTGCTTCACATCAGTGCATGTATGTATCTTTTATAACGAGTGTGCTCTCCTTTCTTATTTTATTTTTTATTTTAATGCAGACCCAGGGAATGAGATCTGCAGTTGTGCCCTATAGGAGCACACTATCTGCTCTGAGGAGAATTGCTCACGAGGAGGGCATTCGGGGGCTGTACAGGTTGTGTGTGGTGAATGCAACAGCATAGTTGATGTTTATTTCTTTACAGATAGTAATCTTATTTTATGACGTCTAATATTTTTCTTCATCTTGTACAGCGGCCTTGTACCTGCTCTCGCTGGTATTAGTCATGTTGCCATTCAGTTTCCAACATACGAGAAAATAAAATGTTATTTGGCAAACCAAGGTGATTTCTAGCCATTAATTGTCCTTTCGTGAGCGCTTAAAGTTGTGGCACTTACTTCATGGGATCATTTTTTTGAGTCAGATAACAAAGCCACAGACAAGCTTGGTGCTCGTGATGTTGCAATTGCGTCATCAGTTTCAAAAATTTTTGCATCCACCTTAACATATCCGCATGAGGTATGTTGCTGAATGGGTTATGTAGTTGAATTTATTTATGGATTAACACGATAAACTTCTAATTGCCTAATCTTGTGGCATGATGAATGAAAGGGTATCGACTTAGAAAGATGGTCTAGAATCCATTTTCAATGTTTATAGCATAATGGAATGTACTGATTTTACAGTATACATTTAGCTATTTCTTGAAAATTTTGAGTTTCATTTCATCGTCACCTTAGAAAGGCTTGTTTCTTTGGTTGGGGTAGGACTGATGAAGTCATTATTCTGGATCTAAATTGGTTATGGAAATGACTGGTAAGTGTTGGAAAGTAACATTTTTCTTTTCTATTCACAGGTTATACGATCTAGATTGCAAGAGCAAGGATACCACTCGGAGAGGCGGTATTCTGGTATGGTTGACTGCATTCAGAAGGTGTTTCAGCAAGATGGCCTACCTGGATTTTACCGTGGGTGTGCAACAAACCTGTTGAGGACAACCCCAGCTGCTGCAATCACATTCACCAGCTTTGAAATGATACACCGTTTTCTTGTTTCACTCTTCCCTTCTGATCCACAAACTCATACATTGTGATGATGGATCATGGTCAGCTTGCGCGATGATAGTATTGTTCTGATACACAAATTAGTCCAGCTGGCTAATCATTCTTTTAATCTTTTAGAGAAGTGAGATGAGAAGTCCTATTCTTTTTGTATTTTAGTTGTTTTCTGTTGTTCTCACATAATCTGAATTAAAGTAGAGGCTTCTCCCTCTTCAAGGTGGTGCGAAATCATTGTCTTAGCAGCTGGACTGAAGGATAATTATATGAAGTGATAATGACGATAAGGATGATGAGTGGTGCAATTACGTGCTCGTCTTTACCAAGCAAGCAACAGTTTAATAATCTGTTCATCTCGAATATTAGTTATCACTCACTGCTTGGCATACTGCATTCTGTAGACACGCGGTTTGATGATCAGAACGAGTATTTGTCTTGTCGGAGTCTGGTTTTACATTCTAACGAAGCAAGGAGTTAGAAATCTACCATATTGGCCTTCATTCACTTCAAGATGTTAATGATTTTTCTTTTGGGTCACTTTGTAATTGGGATCGAGTGGTTGAATCTCATTAGCATTGATGGGGCATTTTTGTCTCTGAAATATTTTTCAAACAACACCTAGAATCTTAAACTATTTGGTGTAGTACTTTTAATTAAAATGTAGTATTTTTCACCTACCTATCCAAACCGTTTGAAAATCTGATTGGACTTCACTCTGATCAGAATTAAAATGCTGATTGGATTTAACCATTCTTCTTTGTCTTCTCTCTACTTCATCTCTCTATCGTGATTCTTCGTCTTCCTCACCTTCTGCACCATCAATCTCTTCTCCAAGGTTCTTGTTGAAGTATTTCAGCATGCCCTTCCTTAATATATCATAAACCGGCAGCCTCTCGGTTGCAGCCGGCATTAACTCGTATTCATCGCTTCCTCCCTACAGGATTCCAGCTGGAACCTGTGATCGATGAAGACACAAACAAGAGGTCGAACAACACACGATTTGGGTGATGGCATGCATATAAGAGATATCGATGGGTCAAACGTCATGAACACCATCTAGACAAGTCGAACGACAGCGGACTGGTGGCAGATGGGTATGCAAGCTGGAGGGGAAGAGGGAACATATGCAAGGAAGAAAGGAATGGACGAGTACGAACACGAACGGACGCTAGGAAGAAAGGAATGAATGGCATGAACATGATCTGGACTTGTTTGTTTTTTCAAACCCCAACATCGCTTTCTTTCTCTCTCTCTCATTTTGGACCCTCTTCTTACCCCATCAGATTATTGTGCCACATATGAATTTGCCTCTTCTTTCTGGCATTTTCACTAGCTTTTCTTTGGGTGTGGTGATTCTTCGGTCTTGTAAATGCCCTTGAATGGTACGATCGGGCTTATTTGTTTCTTTAGCTCCTTGTTGCATTTTCTTGTTGAATGAAGTGTTCTGATTAATGGTGATCTTACTTAGCTTTGGTGCCATTGCTCCCGTCGTTTTTCACTCCTAGGGAAAAGAAAGGGAGGAGGACGAGGAAGGGGAAGCCGGTTGAGGTTGACAAAGAGGGAGGGAGTAGTTTTTTTTAAAAAAAAAAAAAAAATTTTATTTGACTTGTTTGCCACATAAATGTCATGTGTATGCCACCTAGACATTTGTGTGGGACCCATATCACCTAATTAATGACCGTTTCCTTTCTCTTAGAAGTCGGGTAATATTACTCAGCTTTCAAAACTCTTTTTATAATAACTTGCGGGCAAATAGGTCATGTGGTGGATTAAATGTGGGGAAAACACATTTTGGATGCAAAAATTGGTCAGGTGTCCACACCGGTGGAGTTTATATTTCCATGATACTCGGTGGGTCTAGATGTTTTGGGATCCAAGGGTTACAATCTAGAAGCAGTGTTGAGCGCAATGAGTGTTCATGCAATGTTCTTAAATTCTTAGTAGAAGATAAGACATTACTGTTAACAGCAACGGGAGAAGGTAGATGGCATCCTTAGAGGTGTCAAGATTTGCTAAAATGACGTGTTCAAAAATAAGATTTTGGCCAGTAATTTAGCTGAAGTGGTAAACGAGATCTCCAAGGGTAATGTTACTCGTTTCTTTTGAAGGATGACATGGAAGAAAATAGGTCTCTTTTATTAGCCTCATGAAAATTGAGAGATTTGAGCTTGTTTATGTGGAAGCTAATAGTTATTCGATCTGATTTGCTAAATGTTTAATTTTGGTCACACATGGACGCTCCCTTGACCGTCGGCAGTCCACCGAATTTGTATATAGGTTCCTCTGTTCTTCCTTGCATTAAATGAGAGTGTAATGGAACTACATGAGAAGGGGCACCTTGGGCTTGCCGTGAATGAACGTGACGTGACCCGTTTTAAGTTTGCTTCGTTGTCTCTCAACCTTATCTATGCTATTCTGGCTGGCTCCCTTCCGGTTCCATTTGGCAGAACTTTCAATTTAGAGGGACTTTAAAATGTGAACAAATTGTTCGCAATAAAAAATCAGGAGCAACAAAGAATAAACACACCCTGGTATAATATAATCTAAACTTTGTTTTACAAAGATCCTCCTTTAGTTAGGGTTTTATGAGTTTGATCAATCATGCTTTTCAATTATAAAGTCTATGACAAGATATAGTATTCACATTTTTCGTATATATAACATACAATAGAACCAACTGATGCCCTAATTCATCATCTGTAAATAAATGCAAGCTAATGGCACGCGATAATCCTTCATGTTCTACAACTCCCTCATCACAAACGTTTTCTTACTGGTGATGGTTTAAGCCATACACGCGAAATTAACATCCCATCAAACAAATCAGAATTTGCAACTGACACATAAGAACTGGACAGGAAATACAACCTTCATTTTTTCATTAAGAGATTTACCCGAGTGGTGAATCCAAGGGAGTTGAATTGTCAGAATCAGATGACTTAGAATGCGTAACAAATGGTCCAAATGGCGAGTAAAGTTTTTATCCGTCAAGATAACGGTCTCCATCAGCTTCCTTGCGAAGCATGCAATCTTTTTAGACCAAGGTGGGTTCTGTTTCCTCTTTTGAGCACTCAATTATATGCTGTTTAAAGCAGACCACATATCAAAAATATAAAGCTTTTCGAATTGATAAAAAAAAAAAAAAAAGCTCGTGAACTTTAATCCTGGATCTGGATTTGAAAACTCCTCTCCCCTCTTCCCCATGAGGATGCCAGTTAAGGGTTGCAAATTAAGGTCATCATGCCCCATAATTGGACAGCTCGTTATTGAATTAATATGAATGGTTAATAGTTAATTACAAGGAAAACTAAGAATGACCCTGTTCTCATCATATCTTAATACGAAAAAAGGCACATATGATGCTTTTGCGAGCCAGTCTAGAACTGTTACTTTCTCAAATCAATGAGCGCGACTAGGCATTTCCTTCGGCATCCAATGTTGAATGAAATTAAAGGCATCACCAGACAAGACTCGTGGGAATGGATTGCTTTGCCAAAGTTATATCAGCTTCGAAACAAGAAAAGAAACGCAACAAGCATCTGGTATCTTTATGCTCCAGAAATATCGCTGTTGCTTTACTTCTATCCGGGGTATTTTTGTTCTGTGAAATTAAAGCACACGAAGAGACAATATCAGCTGCAGAAATATAGATTAATTATAACAGGAAATATGAGTGGGAGGGGAATACGAGAAGCAAGAGATTACTATTCTTTCACCTTTCATCATGGTTTGGTTGGTCCAAAAAGTCTTAAAGCCATTAAGGGACCCAGGAGTGCCAATCTTTCATCATTCTTCTCTGTAATGCTGGTTATTCCTCTCCCTTTACAAGTGTCTCTGCGTGTGTGTGTGTGAGAGAGAGAGAGAGAGAGAGAGAGAGACTGCTCTCTTGCCCTGATATTTTTTTATGTTGCTCATCTAACATCCCATTAATTAATTATACAGTCAACTATTCCTCACAAAAAGTCTGATCCCACCTCACCGCAAATTTTGGCAACCCAACCGACCAATTATCGTTGAAGTTAAGGTTAGGCTTCCTTTCCCATTTAAATTTCTAAACTCGAGTTTTTTTTTTGGTACAGTAAATTTTTTTCATATATATATATATATATATATCTCACAGAAATATAGCAATTATTATATATATATATATATATATATCATAATTGCTGGGATGACTAATTCTTTATCTGTAGTGCGTGGATCCCGAAGCCTAAATGTCACCACTATGATGAACGCTGTGAGATGATGAAAATAAAACATGAAACTTGAGGCAGAAGCTGGAGCTAATTTTGAATTTTGATATTGCAAGAGAAGTGGGTTTTGTTTTTACAGGGCAAGTTAGGGTAGATTCAAGAGTGGATGAGTGCATGTGCTGATGTGCACCCCACAGAGAGAATTCGTGAATACAATCATATTGTGCAGCGGCATCTGGGCTCACTTGGCATGTGAAACTCTTAAAAAGAAAAAGCACCACTAGCCAGCTCCTTGCTTTTTAACTTTTCATGATAATTAATAAGCTTCCTTGGATTAGCATTCTCAATTATGCTTCAACTATTGCTATTAGTATTCATTGCCTTTTTGCGGTAATAATCAACTCTGCATGATCTAACGCACAAAATGCTAAGGCGCCGATCCCCTTCCCAATATTAACGTACAAATATCTTCCTACCTTTTGACTTTTAACTTTTCCTACTTTCTTATAGGGGTGAATCAATTCAATTTTATTTTTTTAAAAAATTAATTGACTGAATTATATAACAAATTTGGATTGAATCAAATTAAAATGCATAACTGAATCGAATTAAAACCAAACCGAGTTATAATGGTTCAGTTTGATTGATCTATTTGGTTTATAGTTTTGATTGGGGTTTAAGAAGTCTGATTATTTATATATTTTTTTATCCAATTTTTTTTCTTAATGTTGAAGGCCCAACAACAAAAAATATCAATATTATATCATAATTCATGAAAAATTAATAAGACTCAATACCATTGTATTAAAAACTAAATTACAGAAATAAAAAATTAGAACATCACATTAAACAAAAAAATACTACTATTGTAAGTGATAAAAAGATATTTCTTACTCACCTAGAAGAAAATTTATTCACATTTTTAAAAATATAAAGAAAAAATATATATAATTTGATCGATTCAATTTATTTAGTTTAAGAATTCTTAAATCAAATTAAACCAAATAGATTAAATTAAATAGATAAAATTTAATTCGATTCGATTTAATTTTTGGTTTTGCTCACTCCTACTTTCTCATCCTTTGCTATACACGAGAAAATACAAAGTTAATCTTTGTATTACTTTGTTTAATTTTAATAAAAAAATATAACCATTGAATATTGCTTGCACGTTGATTATACTTTTTAATGATCAGCTTATTGATTTAATAAAAAATAGAATTGTTTACCTGATATTTTAAGTTTAATTTGATTGTCATGTATGCAAAAAAATCAAAATAAAATTCCTTTTTCTTTTTTGGTATTTATGGTTTTAATGGAAGGATTTGTTTATAGTACAGGTGTACTTCAAAATACATGTGGAATCAAGATATTCTGGGCCAATATGTGGAATTTAAATATGAAATATATTATTTATGATTTTATAAAGAATGTGTCTTTTATAAATTTTATATTGTGTGTTGGTACAATAGCAAGGCGATGGATATACATGTATAGGATGGAGAAAAAAAAAGGTGGCTCATTTTATTTTTAAAAAAAGAAAAGAAAAGGCAATTAATTGATGGGGGTAAGCCACGCGCTTCAGGTGACAGTGACTGTGAATAGTGATACTTGCCAAATGCCCCCGGGCCACTCGCTGCCGGTGTTTTCATTTCAGTTGAAATTCATGTGCGATGCAAGTGCTTCATTTGATCATTTCCCCATCCCTCGATCCCTCTCAACCTTGTCACGCGCTCCATGAGCCTCGCATGCCCTCTCTATTCCATTCCCGCCTTGTTGCGGTTCCGAATGACTTGTTTGAATTTTGTTGAACGTTACGCCCAGGCTGTTGCGATTTCTCATTTTTGCCCTTCCCTGCGTCTTCTTCATCCGTTTCATTCCAGCCTTGTCTCCCCAGTCCAGTTCTTTGCATTGCATCGCCATTCCATCACCATCTTTGTCCTTCCTCCTTTCAGCTTCCTGTTGCAGTTAAACCATTCTTACACATTTTTCACTGTTTATTTATTTATTGTTGTTCTATTTCTTCTTCTTCTTCTTCTTCTTTTCTATAACTTCTATTAAATTATATTCAGTGCGTTGCACAGTTAGTCGCATGCCTATCACCACATTAAATGAGAAGATATCATGTCTACCATCCATTTTCTAATCAACCCATTCAACAGAGTTTGGGTATTTTAATTATTTTGGAATTAAGAAACGTCATGCCCATTTTTTGTTAGGAATAAATTCGATTTTTCTTCTGAATTATTTTCATAAAAGCAACCAATATCTTAAATTTTTTTTATCGCAACAATTTAGCTTTTTAAATAATTAAATTGTAATAATGTTATCCCTAACATTAATTAGGCAAATGTTATCATTATTTTTTGTAATCAAAGCTAACGTTAATGGTAACATAACTATAATTTAATTATTTTAAGAGCAAAATTGTTATGATTTAATTTTTATACGAATAACATTACTATGATTTGAATCAAATTTATTTTTAAGTCAGTCAACTTAATAGTCAACATTTGCTCATTTAATATCAGAATCAATATTGTTACAATTTAATTATTTCAAATATGATATTGCTTTGACAAAAAATTTAAGACATTAGATGCACCTAAGAAAATAGTTTAAAAATAAAAATGGACTTTAATCTTTTTTTTTTTATTTGAACATTTATGCCTAATTCAAGGAAAGTTTGCGAACGAAAATTTTGAAACGTTCTTCCGTGGTTGGATGACCGGATTTAATAATAAGAAATTGAAAGTGAATGTTTGCTTTCAACCTTTTTTGCTTGTTCACGTTAGTGTTTGGTAACGCCATTGCCATGTGGGAGCGTACCTCTGCATTTTCTTCACTTCCAAACTTGACTACGTCCTATGGATTGGCATGTGGACCTGTTAAAACTAGTCTTTTAGCTTCAGCTATGTCATTTGAAGACGATGCAGCACCAATCCTTAAATTCAACGAATCTCCAATTGATCGAGTCGACATTATTAACCATAATTGTAGTTTAACAAATGATTCTTACTTTGACTTGCAGAGGCACTAGGGAGGAGAAATTATTATGCGCCATTTGGAACGCAATTTCTAATTAAATCAAGAAAACTCGCTTTCAGTGAGTTATTATGTCTGTGGTTTTGGATTACATGTGTTATTTGGGATATAATTGAGTATTAAACGTGGATATCTTTTTTTTTTTTTGTAAAAATTTGCCCATGGGTTTGCAATATTATGAGGTATTAAACTTTTCTATTAGACTTAAAATATGATTGGCAAGAGAGAAAAATAAGAAGAGATAAAAAGTGAGAGGTAAAAATAGAGGGAAACAACATTTCCCCCTTGCAGGCTATAGAAAGAAAAAGTTGAGGAAAAAAAAAAGAGTAAAAAAAAATTTTAAAAAAATAATATATGGAACCCACATATTTTTATTGCCAACTTTTCTCTTAATTATGGGGAGAAACTTTTACTTTTAAATTTACCTACTCACTCCATTAAAAAATGTAAGACATTTTTTTAAGAGTTAGATGTTTAAAAATATAAAATATTTTTAATTTTTTGAGGTGTAATCATTGTTTTTTTTCAAAAGTGTCACTATTGATAATGACTTTATATTTATTATAGGGTATTTAATAGGGATAAATATAAAAAGATAGAGTTAGTTAAAAAGTATGTAACTACTTTATTGAGGATGAAATTAGGTTAAAAATACTTTACATTTGTAAACGAAGGGAGTATCAATTTTTTCATTGTTGCCTCTTGCTTTTCTTGATTTTTACCATGATATTTGTGGTATAGTTATGTTTGATCATGGACCTATGTTAAACAAACAATATATTTAATTTTTAGATTAATTAGATAAATATTAATTCTAAATTTTTATATTAATTTTTACTTAAATACCTTATATTTGATTGTAGTTTTAAATTTTAAGATTATTTTATATTTAATAGTTTAATAAATAAATTTTAAATTGGATAAAATAATAAAATAATTGTTAATTATGTCTTTGTTCAATCAATATTATACAATCAAAATCATTATATATAACATGTTAAAATATCAAATTTATTATATAACTATGTTTTATAAATAATAAAGTTATTATTGTCCGCATACTATTAACAACTTTTCTCTAAATATAGAGAGATTTTGAAGAGAAAATTTTAATTTTAAATTTATTCACTAATTCTTAAATTTTATATGTATGGTGTGATTACATTTTAATCATAGACTTTTGTTAAAAAACTGTATAATTAATTTTTAAATTAATTATAAAAATGTTAATTTTAAATTTTCAGTTAAGTTCCTTATAGTTTCAAAATTTTAAGATTATTATATATTTAATATTTTAATAAATAAAATTTTAAATTGGATAAAATAATTTTTGGTCAGATAAAATAATTTGTAAATCTGTTTTTAATTTAATCAATGTTATAAAAATTATTACATATACTATGTTAAAATGTTAAATTTTATTATATGAAAATATTTTTATAAATAATAAAATTATTATTGTCTATATAAAATCCATAACTTTTTCCTTTTTTCTGTTTTTTTTTTTTTTTTGCTCAGCGAAATACAATAGGAAGAAATAGCATTTCTCTATTTTTCTTTTCTCTTCATTTCATTTTTCTCTTTCTTATTTCTTCTTGCCGGCCATGCGCAGCATTAACTCCAGTTGGTAATTACTAATTACTATATCACTGATATCTTGATAGTTTCAACAACTTGTTTGAAAATCTTAGCAAATAGCATTGTTTGGGAATTAAGGATCAACCATCTCTAATATATCCCTTTTATTTTTATATGTGGACTAAAAACAACAAAATGATTGTAAAGTGCAAATTTGGAGATTCACCGGCCGTGGTGTTTGTTTTGTGGATGAGCATTATCGTAGTCGACAAACCTTTTTATTTTATTTTATTTTTTTCCGCTGGTCGCAAGAAACGACAGACTAAACTGCTAAAGCCTCTTCAATATTTATATTTTAGATTCCCCCCAAGAAGGGAAGCTATGAAGCCACGCAAACACGTCACTCATTTGAATTCCCTAACAGGGTCGTCACGTCTTGTAAATTAAGGAGGATTATCTTAGTGATGGCGACGAGGAGTGGCCGTCATCATGCCATGATTCCTTTTTTTTTTTTTTGACGCTATTAATTAGCCAAAAAGGAAAAAATAAAAACAAAGGCAAGAAGTTAACATTATTTATAGGTGTAACGTCCCTATGTTTGATTTATTTTAATGGATTATATATCTTATTAAAATAGAAACTTGGAATAAAAGAAAACAAAACACTGTGTGCCAATATAATAATAATGGCAAGTCTTCATGAGCACGAGCTGGTTTTTCAAAAAGCCGGTTCATGAGGGAATGCCTCATTTATTTCCTTTTTTTGTAATGGTTTTTTTATCCTACAAGAGTAAAACTAAAAATGAACCCACGTCAATCACCTCAAAATTAAAAATGAATATTATAAAAGGTTCAGTTTCTTTTCTTTTCTTTTTTTTTTTAAAAAGGAAACGTGGGTTGGCCTTCATGGTGCTCATTAATTCCATCTTATTTTTTCCTGCCTTGATTTTTTTTAATCTGTTTTCACACCTTAATTTTAAATGATGGCCACCATTAATACATGCCATATGTGCTGCGCTGTTTCAGGTGATTTCCTCACACTTCAGCAAAACTACTCCATTAATACACCATTGCGGAGCTTTTTTTTTTTTTGGGAAAACATTGTCTTAAAAATCCCTCACATTTAAATTTCCTTACAGAAATTTGTCATAAGGAATCAAATTGTTTTTTAATTTTTTTTTTGACCTCTAATATGTCCTTTTTCTATAGAAAAGAGAGAGACAAGCTTGAATCCTAAATCTCTTTTAAGCGAGAAAGATAATGTTGCCACTGAGATTGAACATCATTTATAAATCTCAATGAACTGGAGGAAAAAGAAAAAAGAAAAAAAAAGAAAAAAAAAAGAAATATGCTTACAACACACACACATATGAATATCAGATAATTGTATTTAAATCAAATTTAACAAAATTGGGTATGTAATAATTGACCGAACAATATTATTGAATATGGCAAAAGTTAAGATAAATTCAAATGATGGCAAGGGGGCAAAAAAAAAAAAAAAAAACAGAAGCAATGATACGTTAAACTTTTTCCCCCGGCGATGGTTGTTATTATTTTTATTTTTCTCTTGTCGCCGGAAATGTGTTAAGCTTAAATACAGTACGACGTTTCTGGTATGATGTTGGTGTCTGGTCCTTCGTTTTCTTCGACGGCATCATGATCGTAAATAATAAATAATTAATTATTTTGTGTAAACTAATACTACCTCTATTCTAAACTATAAGACACTTTTAAATAAAATTTTATATATTTATAAAACTCATTAAATATGCTTTACAACTTTACTTTTTTAAAATAAAAATAAAAATTTTAAAAATTATCCTTTGTTTAATACTCTATTAAAAAAATGATATTAAAGAGAGAAAATATATGAGAAGTGTAATATTAAAAAAGTATCATTAATAAAATTTTATTTTTATTAAAGTGTCTTATATTTTAAAGTATTAAATTTTTTTAAAAAATATTTTATAATTTGAAATGAAGTGAGTAGTACGCATGTAACTAATTATTACACTTACTAAGAATGACCACAATAGTAGTGATTCGTGATCCTTGAATCCCCAGTCTACTTAAATTCCTTTCTGGTGATACCTGCCCGAGAGGGAGAGAGCCGGGGAAAGAAAAGCCTCCAGTATGTATGTCAATATCAAATGTGTATTAAACTGATGGTAAATAATAACATTATAAGTCAAATAAATACCATAACTCATTTTATACTTAGTGTAAAAATACAAGACTTAACATGCTTCTATTTTTTGAAAATAAGCCAGGATGGCATCTTATTTTCGTAGCTTATCGACTGATTATAAACTTACAACGCCAATTTTGAAATACCATGAATGGCTCACATACATAAAAAATTTTAAACGAGTTTTGTTACATTTTTAAAGATAAATCCTTTAAAATCTGTCTATATGGTTAATTAATTTTATCATTACATGTGCTTTTCCATACAAAATTCATAATTAACATCCATCATGTGAATGGCATAAAAACGAGTTTAGTTATTATTAATGATTTATATATAATTTCATTTGTCGACATTTTTATATCAAGTAGGGATATACAATATTTTTTTTGCGACTTCATATCTTTACTACCAAATCTAGGTTTATTGTTAATTAATTTTACAATTACATGCAAGGTTGTTAAACTTGAGAGTTTAAGCAAATTTATGATAGAGATGTAAATTTAAAACTTAAACTTAGATGATAAATTCGTAAGAATTTACCTCTATTAATAAATAATGTTTAAAAGTGTATGATTAAATAATTAAAATATAAAATATGATTATAATTTAATTTAAATATATATATCATTGAAATTAAATATATATACATTTATAGATTATTATACTCAACAGAAAAATTTTAAAATAGAAAAATTTATTTATTTTTTTTAGTTTTATTTTTTATTGAACCTGTTCCTACCATTTCTATGAACTAAGTTTTACACAATATATATCTATTTTGTTTAATGAGGTTATGATTGAATTTGCACAATTTTATAAATTAAAATATAAAAATGATAAATTTAAATAAGTTTAATCAAATTTTATCTAATTTAAATTTATAAATTAATTAATATAATTTTATAAATTAAATTTATAAAAATAATAAATTTATAAAGTTAAGTCAAGACAATGATAATCATACCTACTACTCTCTCAAACAAATGGTTATAAATTAATTATATTTTATTTATATAAAAAAAATCCTGTAAAAGGCGCAGGATCTTTTCTTTTCTTTTTTTCTTTTTTTTTTCTTTTTCCTTGAAAAAAAGGGGAACGAGATAACAGGAGGTATAAAATTGCGAACGTCAAGAGTGGGAGTTTGGGAAGTAGGTTCGGGATTGAGGTATAGGAAAGAGAAAAGTAGAAAACCAACTTAATGGGAGTACAAAGCGGATGATACACACACAGAGAGGAGAGAGAGAGCGAGAGAAGAGCGAGAGCGAGAGGTATCTGTGGGAACACTTCCTTCTGCTTTGTTAGAGATAGAGAAAAGCAAAAGGTAATGGAGAATGTGAGTGTTCGAATTTGGTAACAAAGAAAAGAAACCTCAAAAACACTCAACGTCAACATCAATGGAACACATTCCTGCAGTTTTTATTCTCTTCTCTGTTTCTCTTCTTTATTCCTCTCTGTGATATCAAGTTCTCCGTCTCCTCAAGCGGCTCCTGATATTTACGAATGCTTATTCCATAAATGATGTTGCACACTGTTGACGAGTTGAATAATTGAGTTTGGCTTTTGGCGGGGATTTGCAAGGTCAGCTCGCAGTTTGATTAGTTCCTAGCGAGGAATCGATGGCAGCGGAGGGAACATTGTCGTTTTCGGTGGCATCGGTGGTGGAAGATGTGCTTCAGCAGCACGGCACTCGGCTCAAAGATCTTGATTTAGAATCTAGGAAAGCAGAGGAAGCTGGTAATTGCCTCTCTGTTTTCTTTTTCCGGGCTTTTGCGAAACTCAGTTTAGGAATTGCGAATTATATGCATCATCTGTTGCCAAGTTTTCCAGCTCTATATGGTTCTCAGCATCTATAATGTCTGTTTAAATCTTTTTTTTTTTTTAAATGATACATGTTGAGGGAAAGCTTAGAGAAGGTTATTATTCCGGCTCCGAGAATCCTAACCGGCTAACCCTTTGATCTGCTTTCATCTCTTCTCCTTAATTTCTTTCATTCCACTGAATGCTAATTATGCATACCGACTTCTTTTAAAAGCAATATACGTGCTAGGATCACTTGTCTTGAAAAGAAAAAAAAAATAAATTAAAATGCAGCATCAAGAAGATACGAAGCAGCAGGGTGGCTGAGAAAAATGGTTGGAGTTGTTGCGGCTAAAGATTTACCAGCAGAGCCCTCTGAGGAAGAGTTTAGACTTGGTTTGAGAAGTGGGATTATCCTCTGCAATGTCATTAATAAGGTTCAACCTGGAGCTGTGCCTAAGGTGAGCTCAATCTTAATTTACTTTGCTCTCTTTTATATGTTAATTACAATTTATCCACTGATTACATTTCTTTGTAGGTTGTGGAAAGTCCTGTTGATTCTGCGATGATCCCAGATGGAGCACCATTGTCGGCATTTCAATATTTTGAAAACGTGAGGAACTTCCTTGTGGCTATCCAAGAAATCGGACTTCCTACCTTCGAGGCATCTGATCTGGAACAGGTATGAAAAGGACCTGAATCTTATTATTTCTCACTTTCTGCGTAAGGATTTCAATCGCAGGGAGCTTGACTTGATTGCAACTAACACGGGATATTTCAATAGCATCTCTGCATTCTGGTTCTTTTAAAATTCGTAGTTTTGGTTTTTTGCTCATTAATTTATGATATTTCAGGGGGGGAAATCAGCTCGGATTGTGAACTGCGTTTTGGGCCTTAAATCCTATAGTGAATGGAAACAGACAGGGGCAAATGGAACATGGAAGTTTGGTGGAACTGTTAAGGCCACAACTTCTGGAAAATCTTTTGTAAGAAAAAATTCAGAGCCCTTTACTAACTCGTTGTCAAGGAACTCATCCATCAATGAAAAATCCGTGACTTCTCCCTCTGACGTTGATTCTAGTAAAATGGTTGGTAAGCTTTAATTTTTTTTGACATTACATCTGCTGTTGTTTTCTGTAATATAACATAACAATTAAACGGAAGTTTTGACTGCTCATACTTTTGCAGTCTGGCTCTCATTCTTTGAGTTCGCTCGTTCATGCAATTCTGTCTGATAAGAAACCTGACGAAGTCCCAATGGTAAGGAGACATGTACTTTTCTGTGTCCATGACTGAACTTAATCAGAAACTTCTAATCAATTTACACAATACGGAATTCAAGTATGCTACATTTAGTATCATTATAAAACGCTTCTCAATTATTGTTGTTTACCTATTCATGTCTGCTACTTGATAGAATGTTAAAACGTGCAATGCATATCAATTAACATCGCCCCGTTACTGTCATAAGACTATGAGTGCCTTTCAAACTGTCTGTTGTATTGTTCTTCTGTATGGAGCAGTTGGTTGAATCTGTTTTAAACAAAGTTGTAGAGGAGTTTGAGCATCGGATTGCACGCCAAGGTGAACAGGTACAATTTTCTTGACCTTTTAGTATTGCTATTTGTTCTTATTTTGATATTTATACAAGCTTTTTCTTGTTTCTTTGTTCATCATGTAACTCAGACTAAAACAGCGCCAAGAGATAGTGTTTCTCATGGCAACCGACCTATATCAAAGTTTGTGGTGGGAGATAAAAAGGTGACAAAAACATGTGTTTCACATATTCCATGAATTCTAGGACTGTGATGACATTGAAAGAATGTTTTAATTCTTAGACTTGCTCTTTCTCAATCGATCAGGTAGAGAACAAGATTCCAATGGTTATAAGCAAAAAGGATGTGATTCATGGAAACTGTGCTGCTGAAGAAAAATTGCAAAACCAACTTCTGAAACAACAAATACTCTTTGATCAGCAGCAAAGGCATATTCAAGTAGGGAGCAGCTGAGATAATATTTGTTCTATTAACTTTGTATTTTGTTAATCTATTTGGCAATATTTTGCTTTCATCTTTTTATTTTTATAGGAACTAAAGCATACCCTTCACACCACAGAAGCCGGTTTGCGGTTTATGCAAATGAAATTTCACGAGGAGTTTTCAAACCTTGGTAAGGACTTGAGGTGGAAATATTTTAGTTCTTCACCATGGGATTGTTGGATGAGACATCTTATTTGATCTTGTACTTTTCCTTTATAGGAATGCATATTCATGGGTTGGCTCATGCTGCTTCTGGATACCACACAGTTCTTGAAGAAAATCGTAGACTATATAATCAAGTCCAGGATCTCAAGGGTAACGAGATTTCTAATTGTCTTAAGATTAATTCTCAGTTACGCATTTCCTAGGATTTTGATCCCAAAATAAACTAAGGATAGTTATTTATTTAACCAGGAAGTATTAGGGTGTATTGTCGAGTAAGACCCTTCTTACCTGGACAATCAAGCTATTTGAGCACAGTGGAAAGTATGGAAGAGGGAAATATCACAATCAATATTCCATCAAAGAACGGAAAGGGGCGCAAAACATTCAACTTCAACAAAATCTTTGGGCCATCCGCAACCCAAGGTCCGTTTGGTCTATGAACTAAATTTATCTCCATGAGTTTTACATCTTAATGATTGAAATTGTATCTCATTGTGTTGCAGCGGAGGTCTTCTCTGATATGCAGCCACTCATTAGGTCTGTACTTGACGGTTATAATGTTTGCATATTTGCATATGGCCAAACAGGATCAGGAAAAACTTACACTATGGTAGGATACACTAAGTTGTCTCCAAAAGTTTGACAAATATCAAACTTATATTGCTGATTCATGTTGTTGACATGCAGACTGGGCCGAAAGAGATAACAGAGAAAAGTCAAGGTGTAAATTACAGAGCTCTAAGCGATTTGTTTCATATAGCAGATCAACGAAAGGACGCTTTTCGCTATGATGTGGCTGTTCAAATGATTGAGATTTATAATGAGCGAGTCAGAGATCTTCTGGTTACTGATGGATCAAATAGAAGATATCCTTTTACCTGCCACTTGTTTTTCCCCCCATGTAAAAGGGTTATAGCACTAGGTATAGCATAACCTCCTATTGCTGTAGAAGATTAAAACCTCAGAGTTTAGAGAATATGGATGACATTGACGGCTACTTTATTCTCATTATTCTTATTATTACTGTTATTTTCCTTTTCTAGATTGTTTTTGCTTAAAATGAAACAAACTTGAGCGGTGATGTTTGGCCTTAATCATTGATACATTAGAAATTCGAAGTAGTTCTCATAAAGGGTTGAGCGTGCCAGATGCAAGCCTTGTCTCTGTATCATCAACGCTTGATGTTATTGATCTAATGAACCTGGGGCAAAGGAATCGTGCAGTTGGAGCAACAGCCCTTAATGACCGTAGCAGCCGCTCTCATAGGTATATCCTATACATTTTCCTGGTATCACTGCCTCTGGTTTGTTTAGTGGTATATTTTGAAACATATATTTATTGTTGTCTTAAAATGATCAATTTGGCAGTTGCTTGACTGTTCATGTTCAAGGAAGAGACTTGACATCTGGTACCATCCTTCGTGGATGCATGCATCTGGTTGACTTGGCTGGAAGTGAGAGGGTAGACAAATCTGAGGCCACGGGAGATAGACTCAAGGAGGCACAGCATATTAATAGATCTCTCTCAGCTTTGGGTGATGTCATCGCATCACTCGCTCAGAAAAATCCACATGTCCCATACAGAAACAGCAAACTCACACAGTTACTCCAAGATTCACTTGGTAAGTTTTAAGTAGTTCATTTTCTTATCGGTCAGATACGATCATATTGTTATATTCTTTTCTCTCTTCGAGGTAAGAAAAATTCCTTGTGACTTCTAATCACGTCGGTTGGGCTCATTTCAGGGGGACAAGCCAAAACACTAATGTTTGTTCACATAAGTCCAGAGTCTGATGCCATTGGAGAAACAATTAGCACCTTAAAATTTGCAGAAAGAGTTTCTACAGTTGAGCTTGGCGCTGCTCGAGTAAACAAAGATAGTGCAGATGTAAAAGAACTCAAAGAACAGGTTGTGATATCGTTTACAGCAGTCGTAGAAAAATGCCTCTTTTCAGTTATATTGAGTGTAACTTCTGAGTTGCCATGCAGTTTGCCATCCTTAAGGCGGCCTTGGCAAGGAAGGAAGGGGAATCAGAGCAGGTTGTACATTCATTTTCTGGCAGCAACGAAAAGTACAGAACAAAGGCTGGTGACCTATCACCTTATCCTATAAGCCAGCGGTGTGCAGATGTAATGGGTGATGATCGCCTTGGATGCCGACAACCAATGGTTGATGAAGGTAGCATAGGGGTATGTAAAATTCTTTTCCTAATGACGTTTTTATCATGATAAAGAATTCTCATGCTCTTCAATCGTGCTTAAATATGAGGAAAGATGGAATCCCGTTAATGATTGGTAGACGGCTAAAAGATGCATATAATGTGAGGAAGTAATTTATTGTTTCAATTTTCAAGAACTGACAGAGCAAATTACTGCTTAGCGTTAGCTGTCGTAATATGTGACAAGAGTTGAAATCTCCTCAAGGTCATCGATCATGTGGAATGTGTTTGGTTATTATTGCTTCATCATGCAGCTTCACAGTAACACCAGGAGGCAAAAAACACACAGCCTTGATTTTGACGAGATATCTGCAAATTCACCACCTTGGCCCCCAGTGAAGAGTCCTGGTCAAAACCACGGGGAAGATGATAAAGAAATTGGACAGGGCGAGTGGGTCGATAAGGTGATGGTAAACAAGCAAGATGTAAGCAAATTTGGGATCCCCTTGAGGGGTTGGGAAGCAGACAACGGACAGTTATCAGAGGCCTTTTATCAGAAATATCTGCAGGATTCTTCAATAGTATGCACAGAACGATCATTTAATATGCTTATGGGAGGCAGTCAGTTCAACCTTGCTGGTTCAGATGACATGGATGATCTTGACGCTGTAACCAGTGATTCCTCGGAACCTGACTTACTTTGGCAATATAATCATTCCAAACTTGCCACAGTGCCCAATGGAATTGGCTCAAAGACCAAGAGGTCGATGTCCAAGACACCAAAAAGCCCCGAATTGAGGTAACGTGAACACGCACTTTTAGCAGCATGCAAACACCTCAAATTTACTCGTAGTTTATACTTTGCAAGCTTTATAATAATGTTAATGTTTTGTTTTGGTGTTATTTCGACAGCAAGAATGTGAATTCTTCGCTAGTCCCCTCGCCTTCTCGGAAACAGCCAAATGGAGTCTTGAATCGAACCGGAAGGAATCCGGCTCCTGTTGATATGAAACGGAAAAATGGAAATAGGAAGTGAATATTGTATCAGACTAAAGAGTGTTTTTTTTTTTTTTTGGGTTTCTGATTTTTCTTATATAAATTTTTTAGATGCAAAAGGAGAGGTTTTGCCCTATAATCTTTAATTTCTTTTTGGTCTGCAATTGTTGTAATTTGTATTATACATATAATGCAGCAATGATGCTCGTTGCTTGAACTTTGACATTCTTGTAATTATTTAATAGGAAAAATTTCACAATAATCCTCTTAACCAAATTTACTAACAATCAAATCTCCTAAAATTATAAAATATCAATTCAGTTCTTATGGGTCTTAGTTGAGCTAAATTGAATTTAAAAAAAAATAACACAAATAACCTCAATCTCTTACGTCAATTATTTATCTTCCATAGCATTTGTTCATATTCTTTACACAAATTATTTATATGTCTAGTTTTACTTACTTATATTTATAATAATTTTACGTTGTTAATGAGAGTAGTAAATTTTCTTTATATCAGTTATTTAATTTTTATATATCAATTATTCATTTTTTTACACACTACACAGTGTTATCCATGGCTTAATTTTATTTGTTTATATTCATAGTAATGTTATGATGTTAATAAAAAGTTATTAATTTCTCTTATATTGGTTGCATATTTTTTATACATCAATTATTTATTTTTCCTACATGAATTATTTATGCATCTAACTTCACTTGTTTATATTCATAAGAGTGTTATACTATTAATAAAAGTTATAAATTTCTCTTATATTAATTATTTATTTTTTCTATATTAGTTGTTTTTATTATAAGGGGTTAGGATTATTTGTATCGTTATCTTTAAAAATTTAATTTCAATTCAACCAAACTGAGACTCATAAGTATTGAATTGATGTTTTAAAATTTTAGTAGGTTTGATTGTCGCTAAATTTGGTCAAAAAAGTTGCAATAAATTTTTTCCTATTTTAGGGGATGCAAATTACATTGCATTGGCAATAGTTTGTTTTGCTTTGTTTTTTTTGTTTTTTGGGTGCCAGCACTCGTAATAGTTAGATGCGCCTTTTTGGTCAAGAACCACCCTAAAGACTAATCTTTCCCGCCTGTCAAAAACAAAAAACAAAAAACCAAAAAAATAAAAAAAGGAGGAGGAAGAACGACTAATCTTTCTTTCGTTATTTGTATTGGTCTGATTGAAAGACTAATTTATACCGAGTTGATTTTTTTTTTTTTTTACCAGCCATACCTAGTTGAATTTAATTTAATCAATCTACATCACACATTATAGAAATTAAATAATTTAAAACGAGGTATTTCATTAGAAACTTATGCAATATTTTATTTGTGATTCAAAAATATTTTGATTACTAAAATATGAAATATCTAAGTGATATATTTCAAAATATGTTACAATATTGTTCATTTAACTAAATTTACACGCTCATACGAATTAAAAAAAAATCATTAGGGGTAGACATGCATACCTCATGAGGATTACTAAGTTAATAAAATAAATTTCAGTTAGACTTTAAAAAAATAAATAAATAAATAATATTCAAAATATATAATACTATTAAATTAAAATAATTATTACTTTAATTACAAGTGCGATATGGCTTTCTCAAAAATCTAAATTTATTAAGATAGTCGATTTAACCAAATCAATTTTATCTAAACTGTCTAAATAATTAAAATGAGATTTTAACAGCAAAATTACTTAACATAAGATGTTTGCGATCGTCGTTGGATCAAACAGCCGGGCAAAAGTCAAAGCTAATAATGTCATGTCACCAATCACCATCAAGCTTAGCTCTTTACTATAACTATATATAAAAACCAGTTAACGTAGGCAATGGCCATATAAGCTTAAATTTTCTCCATCGAGCCAAAATTATTCGAGGTCTGAGCTCTGAAGTGAAGAGTTCAACAATTGATTTTGAACCTGCAGGCCCCCTCAACACATAATTCACATCAAGTTTTGACAGCGACGCTTCACACTGTGCATGGTGCAGAATGTGCGTATTTGGTTTCATTCTTGTGATAGATAATTTTGACGCTTTCGAACCTGGTTTTGGGTATGCATTAAGGTGATGAGACTCCCCATAAATATAATCATTGGCAATCTGGAACCATTATTGACAGAACCCAAGACATTTGATTGAAATGTTGAAGATAAAGAGCAACAAGAACCTCTTTAAATAAGAATTTTCTTTTATTGGAAAATTGTGTTGAAGAAGCAGAATATGAAATATGTGTCTCATGTACAGATTGAATGAAACGAATCACTGATTTTTTGCCGCAGCAGTTACCTCATAAGCTTGAGACATGCGTTGAACATGTGGGAGCAAAGCAAGAAGAGGAGGAGCTCTGGAGAGCAGGACAAGGCTCAGGAAGTACCTCTTCAGAGAAACCTTTCACATTAGAGCAAAACCATGGAGGAGATGAAACGGAACTGATTGAAAAAGACACATTTGAAAGACATATTGACGCGAATGGCAAATCTACTAATCCTGAGAAATTGCCGGCAATAGTTATATTTGCACCAATCACGTCATTATAAGTAATGCCACCAACAACTGGAAGCGCGCTCCGATCGTAGCCCTCATCTGGATGGGAACCATAGCATGCATCAATGCTGAAACCCAAATAAATGTTATCCAGTTCTGCGTCTGATACGAAAATGTCTCTGACATAGCCACCTCTGCCCATTGTTGTCTTCACTTGGATGCCGACATGGGAATTGAGTACGAGGAGGTGCTCAGCGATTATGTTGGAAATGCCTCCAGACATCTCACTTCCAAAGGCCAGGCCAGCTCCTGAAGAAGACTGTAGCCTAACACTCCTGATGTGCACGATCGAGGTTGCTTTGCCATACGGGATTCCATACTCATCCCAACCACTCTTCAGCACAATCGCATCATGACCACTGCTAATATTGCTGTTCTCAATGCAAATGTATTCTGAAGAATCTGCAAGTTTCACTTGGAATTACCATTACTATGATGATGATGATATTCATGTGTAATGCCCATCAGAAACTAGTGTTGACAGAAGAGGCAGAAACGTCTAGGCTTAAGGAAAGCAAGTGAGACACCAATCTCACTGCCTGTGTAAAGCAATACAAGTGATATGTGTGAATATACCTGGAACTATACCGCTGGTGTAAGGGGAATCAATTGGAGCACGAGCGGTGATGTTGTGAATCCGAACGTTGCTGCAATGGGTAGAAGAAGTGAATGTTAAAACCGGAACAGTTTCACGGCCACAAGACGGGATTTAACAAGGAAGAGATGCATGAAGCACATGTACCAGCAATATACTGGATGGATGTCCCAGGCTGGAGGATTTAAAAGAGTTAAATTTGAGATTACGATGTCATCAGAGCCTATGAATTCCACGAGATGTGGTCGGCTGTAATTTAAGGAATGAGAATTGAACATGTTCCACCAGAAAGCACCCTGGCCATCAATAGTTCCATTATCACCTGACACATCCATTGATCATAACAATACAGTACTGTAATGCTTCTGCTAACTGTAAATCATATACTTTATGAGAGACAAAGAAAGGGCAGAGAACCTTGCCTGTAATCACGACGTCAGTTAAATTCTGCCCGTAGATTAAGCTGCGATATCTCTTTCCTCCGCCATAAGAAGGGAGGGGATCCACTACACTCCAGTGCTCGATATCCTGAAACGCCATCACCAAAATTGCTCACTGGCTGTAACTTTCCTTCTGCATATACAATTAATTCTACAGTTTTTTATTGGGAAAGGGTTGAAATTGAAGATCAAAACCTGGGATCCAACAATGGTGGCGCCGCTGGCAAGGAAGAGAGTGAGGTGGCTGGTAAGATTGAAGCTTCCGGTAAGCCATGTGCCTGACGGAACATAGAGCTGAGCGCCACCTTTATCAGCAAAGGACTTGAGATAGAATATTGCATTTTGGAAGGCAACTGTGTTGAGTGTTTTCCCATCTCCTACTGCCCCAAATTCTAAAATTGAGACACTGTGAGGCCTCGCATCCAATACTCTGTGCTCACAGGGTCCACCATTAATATCCTCCCCATTACTCTCTGGAGCAGGGCTTAATGCCAGGAGAAGCATAGTCACAGCCACCTGTAAATAAGGCAGCAAAGGAGAAGACTTAAACTTCATCGCCAGCTTCATTAGAATATATTTCTGATTTCAATCGTACAGGCGATGCATAATTACGCATTGGGTCATTTTAAAACAATGATAGAACTTCCTCAGGAGCAAAACAAATATTCTGTTCTTTCGTCTGTTTGAAACAATTGTGCATTCGCCCTTCATTACAAAGGGATTGCTTGAAGAAAAATTAACTTTAGGACAAGAATTGGGAGGAGGAAAATGGAATTCAGACTAGCGAACCACTGTAATGATAACATATTGTAATTACAGTTGGACAGTATTTGTGAATGGACAAAAGTGATAAACCATACAATGTTAGCTACAAATAAGATCTTTTGATCAGTTTCAACAGAAAAGACAGATCTACCAAACAACCTATCTGAAATATCCACCGATCTATAATGTCCTTAAAGATTAGCATTTTCAGATAATTCCTCAAAACTATACACTTGGAAGGCAACGTACACACCAAAAAGGAAAACAGACATGAAGATGAATTTAGAGGGAGCCGGAATAAGCCAAATGAGAACTTTTTGTAGCCACAGGATTATCAAGATTCAAAATCATCGAACTGGACACAAGCAATGAGCAGAGCATCGAGTTTTAACGGGGTAAAAAGAAAACGAGAAGGAACAGATTATTTTTTCCCCGGTAATCATCGTAAGATAAAACAACGTACTTACTAGCCTCTTCATGGTTGTGGCAGCTTCAAAAGCCGAAGCCAGTGAAGCAGGAGGGAGGAATAGAAGCGAAGACGAAGAGAGGTGGGGGGAGGGAGGTGAACAGAAGAGAGCTGTTTTGTATATAATGCCAAGCAAGCACTCCACAAGCAAACAAAGCGAAGAGGAGGTGGTGAGAGAAAACGACAGCTAAAAAGGAAGAGCCGGCTCTGCGTTTCATTTCCTTCTATATTTAATTTCCACGCATCACGCAAGGCAAAGCCAAGGCTACGATAAAATATCATTATAACTCAATCAACTCTAATTACTATTAATCCATTGATTTACCATGAAATCCTCAATTAAATCTCTCATTTTGCCGACACCGAATTTTAACTTTTTTTCTTGGAGTGTTTTCACGTACACTCTTAAACAGGGAAGGATCCAGTTTTATGCTTATTATATAAATCTACAGCTTTTTAACTGATATTTTTTAAATAAAAAATTATTTTTATAAAAACAAGCATCGTCTTAATTTTCTATTCTTTATACATTAAAATAATTTTTTTAAAAAAATTAAAATTAAAATTATAAATTTAGAATATTCAAATTAAATTTAAATGGTTTGAAGGTGATGATGGTCCACACTAAAATTGATTCTCTTAAACAATGGGGTCAATTTGACTTTCAAGTCAAATTTATATTTTGCACTTCCTTGATTTCAATAATATAAGAATATCCATCAATCAAGTATCCTTCAATTATTTATTGGATTAGATTGAATATTTATTACAATACAATTCTGATTAATTATACTTCAAGTATTAACTTGGTAAAAAATCATTGTCAATTATCTTGAACAAAGGATACCGAAAGGGCAATCCATCGAGATGATTAATACTCCCTCCCCTTATTTATAAAATACTTTTTAAAAATAATTTTTAATTCAAAATATAAAATACTTTATAATAACTAAATTATTTTTTTAATTTTATTTTTTTAATTAGCGTGAAGATATTTAATGTAATTGTATTATTATTTAAAGTCAAGATCAAAAATTAAAATATATTTTATTTTTTTATGATATTAAAAAAATGAATTTTTTAAAATGAATAAAATAGTTGAGAGTATTTTATAATAAAGATAAAAAAATAATGAATTAATTTTCATGAAAAAGAAAAAAAAAGCAGAAAGAGAGAGCGATGTTTCCAATAATATTTTCGCAAAATATACAATCTCGATCATCATATACAGAAGACATTGAAAACGTTACAGTTGACGACAATGAACAATAAATGAATGTCTATAGAATCCAATGACAGAGTTCACTCCCTTAAAAATAAAAAGAGAATATCAGGAAATGACTCTGTAAGCAATTTAATTTTACAAATGAACCGTTAACAAGTAAATATTAACGATGAATAAGTGAAGTTTTTGTTTTAGTAAATATTCAATCCATTCAGATCCCATTAAATATTAAATTCTTTTTATAGATTCTTTATTGATATTCCAAAAAAAAAAAAAAGAGTGCAATGAGGGGGGGGGGGCTGCAACAATGACATTATATCAAATAAGAAGCAATTATAGCAGGGGGAAACCAAAAATCTCAACGAAATTCTTCATTTCATTTCAAATTATAATTATAATCATAGTCATAGTAGTGCGTAAAAATGATTTATGGAACTAAATTTAGAAAATATTTGTTTAACTTATAAAAATAAGTTTGATTAAGTTATATGAGGGAGTTGGGTGAATTTTAATTTAAACTCAAGGAGTTTTTGAGAGAAAATCTATTTTAAACTTATATTGACAAGTAATTTTGATTAGCCTTATCAAAATAAGTTGACTTTTTGAACAGCTCATCATATTTAATTTAAGATTTTCTCAACAACTATTTTATATATTCTTTTTATCTCAATCAATAAGATAATTTTTAAGAGATTTCTTATCCTAAAATATAAAATAATTTAAGAAAAAAAATTCATTAATTATATTTTTTTAATACTATCAAAGAGAATTGAAATAATAATATTATAACATACATAATAATTAAGTAAATAAAAATATTTTTAAAAGTTTATAGTTTTGTTTTGAAAAATTAAGTTCTTAAAATATCATTATTGTGTTTTATTAGTATACATAATCTCATTTTAAATTGTTTTATAATTTGAGACACATGGAATATGACAATTAAAATTGCTTTTTTTTTAATTTAAAGAAACAGACACTAACCAAAATATATAAGTCCTAATATAGGTATCGTTAAATAAAAGTGAAGACTTTTAAACATTAAAAGAAAAGCAAACCATCGAATTTATTTTTTGAAAAGGTAAAATTTAAAATCCTCATGAAAATCTTCATAGTATGTAAATTTGCTAACCCATCATATTAAATTAACAACTAATATTTTAACTAGTTTAATAAAAATATTATATTTATAATCAGTTTGGTCACGATTTAACTATAATTTCAACCATTAATTTTTTAAATCACTGTCTTGACTAGTCAAATTTTCAATGCCTTGAAAATCTTTGACAGTATCAATTGTTAAAATGGAACAAAATTTTACGAGATTATGATTTATAGCTATTTTCTGGTCTAAAAATAAGCTTATGTGCTTATTGTACCATCATCAAGTTATATTAATGCAAATATAATTAATGCCTTTAAAACCAAAAAATGTCAATTAATCGAGATTTAAAACTTAGACTAAAACAGTGTTATTAAAATCTTTTAAGAACTAGATTGATGATGGTAAATTAACCACGATGATCAAATTCGTAACAACATATTTATAAAAACGATAGGTCTTGTTGAAGTTTTGTAAAACTGAATTAAAAGAGTAGATAGTTGGCAATAAATAAATAAAAGAATAAATAGCTGGCTTTTTGTCTGTAAGAAGAATAGATGATGACGGATTAATTCGTGAGCAGTGACTTAAAAGCAATATTGGGTCAGAGGCATTTAAATATAGAATCCCTTTGGGACACTGGGGATTGGGAAACTGGGATTTGGAGATCAGAAAAGGGGAAAAAGGAAAGGGGAGAGCAGAGACGTACCTAAGAGGATTAGGACAGTGGGACCCACGAGTTTGGATTTGATCGAGGAGATAGAGATTTTGTGGGCATATATATCTTATTTGAATTCTACATGATCAAAGCTTGAGAAAATGTAGATTGCTATAATGACACTGCTTAAATCGAGACATTGTAGTAACTAAGCACGGTACAAAATAGATGTTACATAAGTCAACATTCCTAAATAATATTAGGAGTGTAAATGGGCGGGTATGGGTCATCCGTGGTCTTACCCGTTACCCGCCCATTTATGGGTAAATGGGTGGCTACCCGCCCGTACTCATTTATACCCGTTTGCACCAGTTTTTAAATGAGTGTAAACGGGTCTGGGCGAGTCTGGGCCACCCGTTTACCCACAACACTCATTTTCTTTAAAAAAAAAAAGAATCAAAACATATGATTTTCATCCCACTATAACTTGACATAAGTACTTAAGTAGCATCATTCTAAAAGTTTAAATCTATGAATAATATAAGGACAAATATTTTAACAACAAATACTAAATAAACAAGGATCAATCATTTTAATTTTTAAAGTGAAAACTCATTTAGTCTCATCGATCCTTATTTATCTTCTTCGGAGTCACTTGATATGGCAGAATATTAAGCTATTGACTCTTCCTCTACAAAACAAATTAAAACAATTGGATTAGTAAATAATAATATATATTATATAATATGGAGAATTAAAATGAATATACATATAATAACTTATTCATATTATTATTAACATCAATAGCACGTAAAGTCTCATCAAAATAGTCAATATCAATCTCTTCCAATGGGGTGCATGATGTTGATGATAGCCAATTCTGGGTGCAAATGAGTGCCTCAGCCATTTTTGAAGATAAGGAACTCCTGAAAGTATCTAGTACTCGACCCCCAGTATTAAAAGCAGATTTCGAAGACACTGTGGAGACAGGCATAGCCAACAAATCACGTGCAATCAAGCCCGGAACTTTATACTTGGAAGAATTCACTTTCCATCATGCCAAAATGTCAAAACTATCATCACAAGCATCAACTAAATCTGCATTTAGGTACTTTTCCACTTCTGAAATTGGTTTTTTTGGACGCTTACTCATTGCAGTGGCTAAGAAATCTTGCATTGCCACATCTATAATTTTTTTAGAAGATGGAGGAGCTTGCTTCTCCCCACCACTGGCACTGCTATCCCCCACCTCTGTACCAATTTCAGATGGTTCACTACTACTGGTTGTAAGAGTTGCAGAGTACTCATCAAATAAGCGATGCAAAAGCCCCATAATCTTCTTTTTCATCATTTCCCTCTTCATGTAATCACCAATAAAATATTTAAAAGCAACTTCAACATAAGAAAATTTAAGAATCACAGCTATCACCAACAATGGATTCATGTTTTCTGCCTTTCCCCAGTACTTGTCATACTTACTTTGCATCCTTTCTGCCATGTCACTCAACAAAGAATTAGATTCAACTACAATTGAATCTAATCGTGTCTTAATTGCAACTATATTTGAAAGCATGTGTTTGATGTGACATAATTTAATCTAGAAAATTGAAGAGTCATAGTATGGAACAACTCCAAAAAGATGAGAAATTCCTTTGCCACACTCCAGTCATAGGCATTAGGAGGTTTAACTGTACCTTCATCACCATCATGATCACCAAGTTCATCTTCATCCTCCTCTTCCATCCTATCAACATAGCTTGAGCTAGAAGACAGTTTAACTTTCTTTTTGAAGTAGTTCTTGTAATCTTGATCCTCATCCTCCATTCTATCAAAGACCTTAGTGAACTTAACGGCATTCTGCAACATGATGTATGTTGAATTCCACCTATTAAGATAAGCAAAAGATTTAAATGTTAGAAAAAATTGCATATCATAATGCAAACAATCATAATTTAATAATTATGTAAATTACCTGGTGGGACAATCCATGCTAAGAAGACTCTTTGAATCAATTCTCAATTTTTCAACAAGCTCCTTAAATTTTTTAAGCCTACCAAGAGAAGATCTAACAAACTTGATTGTATGCCGAATAAGTTCAATAGATTGATTCATATCTTTAAGGCCTTTTGAAACAATTAAATTCAAAATATAAGCAGCACACCGCATTTGCAAGAATTCTCCATCACAAACTAGACCTCCCAAATCCTTCAAACGCTTTTTTAAAAACATAATAGCAGAATCATTAGAAGAAGCATTATCAACTGTAATTGTAAATACTTTCTTAATACCCCAATAGAATAAGCATCCCTCAATTTCATTGTCAATGGTATCCCCTTTATGGTTTTCCACCACACAAAAATTCAAAATTCATTTCTGTAATGTCCATTCCTCATCAATCCAATGAGCTGTCAAACACATGTAGTTGAAATTTTGAATTGAAGTTCAACAATCTGTGGTGAGGGACACACGAACTTTAGATTTCTTAAAATACTTTTTCAAACGTTTTGCTTCTTCTAAATATATCTTGTAGCACAACTTAGCCATAGTGGTGCGAGAGGGGCATGTAAATCTCGGTTCAAGCACTTCCAACATTTTTTTAAAACCTTGTTTCAGCAACTGCTTTTTTACACCTTTCTGCATTATACGAATGATAAGTCATTGATTTACCAAAGGAAGCAGAGAGTAAGGATTGTCCTGCCTTAGCTTTGTTTGGATTCTTTGAGCAAGAATCAAAATGCTGCCAAAGGTTCTTAGTCCCAGTTTAGAAGAATGGCCAGCAAAATCCTTTCCATAATAGTTGCATTTAGCCCGATGCTCACCTTTTTTGTTTATAAACTTCTCAAAATGATTCCACATTTCAGATGTTGTGCTCCTTTTACGTTTGGAGGGTGGTGCTTCTTCAACTTGGATAGGTTTAGACTCAATGGGTGCTATGACGGTGGTGGTAGTTTTAGGTTCATGGTCCCCTTCCATAGCTTGTACCTTGTAGCCTTGTACATTTTTCATAGTGAATGTTAAAGTAAAAACTATATAACAAGCAAAACAAATCAATCATAGCAATATTTAATGTTAGATACAGCACCTTAACAATCATACACAATACAAATATCATTACCAACAAGCTTTGAGAAATGGACAATATCTTGTGAGAAAGACTAAAGAGTCTTGACAGACTTCAACATTAAAAAAAATATGCCACCACCAGCAGTAAATTAAAGCAAATGTAGAAGTTTGTTTACAAATTTTCAATACACTAAATCTATCTAAAAATTTATTTAAAATATAGAACTTCGTTTGCAATCAGTGAAAATTATAGGCAGAGCAAAGTACCAAACCAATAATAGCCAGCCAAAAAAATTAGACAATGTGATCAATATGAGGGGATCAGAGTAGGCTGCCATTATTTGGAAAAGGCCTACCCGGAGCATTAAAGTGAAAGGCATTTAATTTTAAAGTATGTTGCCACTAATTCATTTTCAAAGTAAGATGGTACTTAAAACTTTGAGTTATCATAGATCCCTTTACAACTTGGAGCATGCCCTTAGCAACATTACCAATTAAGATAACGAATCCATAGCAGCAGATTGAATCCCAGGTATAAGAATGGATGCTCTTTAAATTTGCCAAAAATCCACAATATATTATCCACATTGAACAAGACCCTTCAGTAAAATAGAAAAAATGAGGCACACTAGACTATCCATTCTCATTATCATACAAATGCAGAAAACGCGACAACATTAACGAAGGAAATTTCAATCAATTGCAGTTCATTATACTTCAAAAACAGAGCTCACCCATATAAGTTATGATTACGATACAACGAATCAGCGATACTCATATAAAAAATACAATACCTTACGATACTCCGGTGCTTACAAGGCTGTGAAAACTTAAAACGTCACTCGCTACTGGTGAAGCAAAATGGAAAACCAGACCAGAGGATGAGAACCGAAGTGCCAGAGGACGAGAGGATCAGCTCAGCAACTCACAGCCTCACACCTCGCAGCTCAGCAGTTGGCAGTCGCACACTCTGAGAGGACCGATTTAGGGCACAACTGAGAGTGAGACTCTCACTATCTCACACACCGACACAACTGAGAGAACGGGCATCTGATTTCACGGGTCACGATAAAGCAGAGTTGGTTCACGGGTTTAGACTCGGTACTTCAGTTTCAGTGTTTCACGGTCACGCTCATGCCTTTGATTTTAGCTTGAAACCAAACTGGTTTGTGGGTCTTTTTTTTATTTGAAAACAATCCCCAGCCCAAAACCAAATACATCTCAGATTGTCAGACCCAGTCTCCAGCCACAGCCAGCATTTTTTTAAAAAAACATAAATGGGTGGGTACGGGCCACCCGTATCCTTACCCGTCACCCGCCCGTTTACTGATATACGGGTATATACCCGCCCATACCCGTTTATTTTACTTAAATAATGGGTATGGGTTTACCCATTTAATAACGGGTCGGGCGGGTATGGGCGGATATACGGGTTATCGGGTAAATTGCACAGTCCTACTAAATATAATTGCTTAAATGTGTTTTCTTGGAACTCATAGTGTGACCTAGTTTTGTTTTCCCTTTTTTTTCCCCCAAGATGCACAACTAAGTTGTACAATGAGTTTTAAGAGAATATATATAATTGAGCATGACATTTTGAAACATTAAATTTATAAATCTTTTATATTCATATACTTCTTTTTCAACACAACTTAAAAATATCATACTTGTTTATATGTATTTTTTTAAAACTTGTTATGCGTTCCAATTGTATTCTCCCCCCTCTCGAGATCCTCTTGAGGCCTAACATATTAATCAACATATCCCAATAAATTAAAATCTTCCAATGGTGTAAGCTTACCATTCCGACAAGAGAAGCCTGGTCTCGTGTATTTTCTTATAAACTTGTGTGTTTAGTAATGTGTGATTAATCGTTGTACAATAGGAGGAGAACAAAAGCCAAGCTTAGCTAGCAAGGCATGGACTTACTAAAACTAGTTATCATGCTTATTGGCTTCTCTCAACATATGGTGCAGCAATGATCTAATTACACATGACACAACGAGATTTGGACATGATAACTCTTTTGAATCAGGTGTCCAACGGATCATGATTCTTTCCTGATGAGAGTTCATCCCAGTCCCTCCTGCTTTACAATATGGGGGCGGGGCCCAGGATTGTAAGGGCAGGAGAGACCGGGATGGGTTCTCACCGCGTCCAACATATCTTAACTCAACGAAGAATGGCCCTCCATGAAATGTTCCAAGCCCAGGATGTCTGGCTAGGTTGTATTTAATTAGTTTGGGATTAAAATACCGTATCCAATATATCCAACAACGAATTGTGCAACTATCGTAAGCTTTCACCGAGGCCAGAAGCACCTCACAAGTCACAATAAACATCAGATATTTTAATTTTCACAGGGCCACAAGGTTAGAGCAAATCAAAGCAAAAAATTGCCCGCCCCACTTCATAAAGAGGGGAACACGTTCAATAAGACATTGAATCAATGAATTGAAAACAAAAACTGCTCCCAGTGCTTAAAGACAAGTAGCACATCTAGTCATGATCACAGTTGTCCATGCATTTTAACATATTAGTAAGACCTGATTTGCAGAACCTCATGGACCTATTTAAGCGTGTTCGCATTTTGATGTTGAAATTTATCCACCCTGACACAAAATCAGGAACAAAAGATAAAAGCTTCTCGTGCGGTCACAATTATTAAGTAACATCAGAAACGAGGTGTAACTTAATACCAAAAACACGATTAAACAAGAGTACAAGGAATATAATAAATGCTTAAACTTAGAATACTATTTAAGGTCTATAGCAACACAAGGAGACTCCAGAAAACTAAGGTTTAGTACAGCAACTGAGGGCGTCAGGGTCTTTGATAATTCCAAATCCTTCTAATCTCCGAATACGTGACTGACTTACTTCTTGGATTTCTTTGATACTCTGCAAACAAGGCATATTCGTTTAAATACTAAAGAAAATTTCTTGGCCAATATACATATATATATATATATAAAGGTACTCAAAAATCTGAGAGCCATTAAGTTGCTAAAACATAGAGTATGACACTCACTGGGAAACAGGAGCAGGTGGCGCTACTGATGTCTTTTCTCCAGGACCCTGAACATTATACAAAGAGCAAACCAAATATCAAAATCCCATCTCTATGAAGAACCAAACTCAGCAGAAGTACCGGTAACTGAGTTCTGAAGAGCATTAACTCACCTGAGCCAAGCGCTCCTCTCGGCGGGCAATTTTCCTTTCCCTGCTTGCCTTGTTCTTGGCACGCTTGGCTTCAAACTGGTCAGACAACGTCTTCTCTCTTGCCTTCTCAGCCTTAGATTTGTGTATGCTCTCCATCAGAACTCTTTTGTTCTTGAAAACATTACCCTTCACCTTCATGTACATATCATGGTACATGTGTTTGTCAATCTTTTTGGACTCCCTGTACTTGCGTAGCAAGCGTCTGAGCACTCGCATCCTCCTCATCCAGAGGACTTTAGTGGGAAGCCTTGCCTCCCTTGTACCCTTACGCTTACCTAACAGTATTTAGGTCAACATTATAAATTAATGATACTGCCTCTCTCCTTTGAGACCAAAGAGAGATTCACTGCAATAGTTATGTGACCAAAAACAGATATAGCACTAATCATAGTCCGCTCAAATGTTTGATAGACATTTAGTATATATAACTCGTTCCCTATAAACAATTATGTTGATCTTTTAAAATTATATGTGGCAAAATGGCATCTTGACAATATGTCCATTTGTGAAAGACGATGATAACCATAATATACAATAAAACATTTTAACTTGCAAACTACCTGCGATAACATTCCAATAAATGACTCCAAACTAACAACTAGAGTTATTTCACGTCAAACCCAATCAAGTTGAGGAACAAATACCATATCCAGAGTGGCGTCCTTTTCTCTTGGCCTCCTTCATACGCCGAGCACGGGAACGAGAGTGAATTTTAGTCGGTTTCCTAATAATGAAGCCATCCTTAACCAACTTCCTTATGTTTTGCCCTGCAAATGTAAATTCATTGAGTAGCCTGAAAGTGATAAGCATAGAAAATGAAGTTGTCCTTTATTAAATACATTTGGGAAGGGGTGGGGAATGAATGTAGAATTGAAAATATATTTTGTTGGTATAAAAAAAAACAGAGATGGTATTTCTAATAGAATCACATGTCATGTCTCATCCAAATGGAGATTAAAGAAGCACGAGCTTGTTTTGGTTCCCCCTTAAAACAAGGCATTCTGAAGAGACGGCATTGTGATTCTAAAGCGACGGCAGCACAAAGTCTATCAATACCGATACAAATGAAAATAAAGATGTCGTATTTAGAGGACCAACAATGATAATTATTATCATGAAAGTTAACCGATGTAAGATTTTAAATTGACATGCATCAGAGCTCAAGTCGGCTAAGCCAATTCGTATCCATCAGCCGAAGATGCCATGTGGGTGCTTGTAAATCTCCAGCAAAGAAAAGGAAAACTAATCATAGCCAACCCCAGCAGAAGCTACCGCCTACAGTTAAGTTCGGATCCAAGGGAGTTTGCGCTGCCCCTTCCAAAGGTTCTCAGCAACCAGCGAAGCAAAGGGTATTTAAAAATAAAACAAAGCAACCAAAAAGAAAAGGCATCGAGGAACAGAGATGATGATGAAAGGATTAGCCACAAAACAAAGAGTAAGAGCATACGAGAATTGGCCATGGAGATTTCATTGACTTCATTGGGATCCAGCCAAACCTTGCCCCTGCCGCACTTCAACACGCTAGCAGCGAGCCGCTTCTGCAACTTGAGCGACACCATCTTCCCCTCGCCGGATATCTGCTGTGAATGCTATCGTTCTGGAGAAAACAGAGACGATGACAATATATTCTCTTCTCGAAAACCCTAGGGCTTCGCCCGCTTTGGGGTGCATTGTATTATCTTATGGGCCTCACCCCATACGAGGAACCTTACGCTGGTAGTCAATTATTGGGCCTACCTACACTCATCAAGCAGCAAGACTGCCATACATAGATTTTGGGTTTTTTGGGCCGACCGACTTCATTAATCATTTTTTGTAAGTAAATTTGAACTCTTTTATACAAAATTAAAAAATAAATAATTTTTATATGGCATAGAGATTTATTTTTAAAAAATTATAAAAAATAAATATTATTTTTATTTGTAGTTACAATAATAATAAATTATTATTATTTACTTAATTTTAGATTTCATAATATCTTTGGTGGATATCCAATGACAAAAAATTATTTATTATTTAATTGTTTAATTATCATAAAATGTCATGATATTTTCATGTATCTTAACTATTTTATGATATTCTCTCTCATATATCATATCAAATTATTTTCGTAAATGATTTGAAGTAGCTTTTAAAATGATAAAAAAGGAATTAGATTCTGAATATTTTTAAAAAATTAAGCACGGGTAATAAATATTTTATGTTTCGAGGGACAAAACCATTCATAAAATTATCTTGTAAAATATGAGGTATGTATTGGCTTAGGAGGGTGGTGGCGGGGTGGGAATTCAGGAAGCGCCCATGGAATAGGCGCAGCAGAAGCACTTGTCTCCCTCTGACTAGTGATTTCTAAAAAGCAGCTCCCACCCACATGGGAACTCCAAAGCCAAAAACCGGTGCGCCCCCTGTCTCACTTCTTCACTTTCCTAGTTTCCTTCTCCCAAACCCACTGCCTCTTCGATATTCATTTTCTTGTTTTTGCTGACACTGACTTCTTTTCTTTCATGTTTTAACCTCCATCACACGCCTCTACTCCCTCATAATTCTTGTTTTTGACTTTTGGTCGTCCGAAGATGAAAACAGATTAATATGATTATATACTTGTGTTCACTTTCAGATGTACCCTCCTTGTGATGAATGCATCCTCTTTTTTCTTTTTTTCTTTTTTTTTATATATCAAAAATCAGAGTTTGGGCATTTCCTCTGCCCTGCTAATGGCTTTCCGGTTTCCAATGATGCACACAAACCATCGCAAGCTAGAAATGGAAATTAAGTAAATGCACAAGACAAACCATCGCAAGCTAGAAACAATTTCATACAAGCCAAAATCAGAATCCAACAACACCATCTTAATTCTAGAGTCCCGCTTAACAAGGAACTTTAAAACTAAACCACTACTTCTGCCTAAATTTACATTACCAATGGCCCCCTCCCTCTCATCCCCAACTGTGTCTTGAACTAACGAACTGACAAAACAAAACGTTTCTTTCACATGGCGGACGATGTCCCGCATGCAGGAATGACTTCATCGTCGAAGCTCCACAACTCCCCGACTACGTTCTCTTGAACCGTATTTCGTGCCGCCGACTGGCCGTCGTAGTATGGCATCTGATAAAACTTCATGTAGTTCTCGTACGCCATCAGCTCCTCCGATAGCTCCCCTGCCTGGTTCTCTTCTTCCTCCCCTTCCATCGCCACCCTCTTTGTTTTCCCTCCCTCGCTTCCCTTTCTCCGATCCCAGTCCACCAACTCCACCGTCGAGTAACCTCCCTGTGACCCTGATGCTCCCCCGCAGGAACAAGCTGCTCCGCCTTGGTTCAGATCATAACCGAACTCCAGATTCAGACTTCTTGGGGCACCGTCGGACCGTTGGGCCGGAGGTGGCGGGTTACGACGAGCTTGAACGGAGCGATCGTCGTCTTCGTTGGGAAAATTGACCTTGGCTTTCTTGCCACGGATCTTACGAGCTTCTCTGTCGTAGGCCCTGGCAGCTTCTTCTGCGGTGTTGTAAGTGCCGAGCCAAACACGAACTCCTTTCCTCGGATCGCGAATCTCAGCGGCCCACTTACCCCACGGACGTTGCCGAATCCCTCTGTAGAGGTTCTTCCTCTGCCTCTTGACGGGCTTCTCCACCTGCTCAACTACTACAGGAAGAAGATCTCAAATATGAAACCAGGAAGCGTAAAGAAAGATGTGAAACGAACGAGTGTCAGCGGGGCAAGAAGAATGACCTGCGGGAAGTTGAGGGTTTTGGCGGACTAGTGCAGAGTGAGAAGCCTCCGAGTGGAAGTCATCGTGGTTTCCGAGCGTATCGGGCCAGATGTCGGAGGGGGTAAGGCGGCGGCCACGGTGGCGAGGAATGAAGTCGGCTATGATAGCACCCCCACACATGCTTGATCCAGCTTCAGAGAGATGAACAATGGACTTGAAAGTTGTGACGAAGCGAATGCGTTAAGCAAGGAGATTTGACGTGATACCTATAACCGTGAAACGAACAGGTCGTGCGGGAATGAGAAGGGAAGCGGCCTATTTGTAGTTGGAGATGAGGGCAGGAGGCGCGTTGCTCCACGTTAAGACTTAAGAGTATTATATTCAGCATTCACATTAACATTCCATATGCATCAATCAACATGAAATATAAAATTATAGAAAAGCAGTTAAGAGTTTCACGACTTATTTTAAACTTGTTACAGTTATTTTTCTAATTTGCTACGATTACTTTTTTCACACATGAGATGGAACTCGTATAATATACATTTGTTACTAGAAAATCACAATTTATTATACACTTTACACTGACGATCGAGCATGATATGGATGACGTGGAACGTCCTAAAGGTTTTGGATGAGGAGGTGCAATCTTTTGAAAAGCAGCAAGGATAGGCTCGGACGTTGAAGATGGCATGCTGATTAAATGAGCTCTTTATTGAAAAGGCGAGAGCAAGAGTAGAAAGTAAGAAAACTAGGGAGAAGCAAAGTTGGAATTGTTAATAGTGAGAATACAGGGAGATGAATTACGCAAGAAACAGGGGGAGCAGGTAATGAAAGAAGCGCTACATGCTGTGAAGGGCAGCTGACAGAACACCAAGCCCATGGTATGGGGCATTTGGTGGGCATAATCTGTGATCGATCTACAGCCCAACCACATACAAGAATATCGCATGAGCTCTGCGGGTTAGGGATTGGGCTGTGAAAATTGATTTTGTTAATAGAGGGAGTGTTAGACAGGCTGATGCTTTTGTGAAATTTGCTCATACTTTATCCTCAATTAGTCATTTCTTTGGCCATCCTCCAGCTTTTGTTAGAGAAGAGGAGGAGGGGCATACAAATGACAACTTTAATGTATTGTGAATTGTATCCTCTTGATACTAATGAATCACATTTCATACCAAAAAAAAAAAAAAACAAAACAAAAGAAAAGAAAAGAAAAGAAAGAAAGAATATGGCATGAGCTCCAGCTCTGACTCTGCAAGCATCCCACCATACATCCAAGACTAACATGTATACTGTGTGACGGATGTGGAAAAATTAATGCAGAATTTATATTTAAAATAAATAGTAATTTTTTTTAATTTTTATTAAATTAAATTGAAGATTAAATTTATAATAATGGAAAAATAACAATATCTTTATAAAACCAAAATTTTACAAATATTAGAAAATAATATTGCTTTTAATTTTTAATTTTTATCAAATTAAATATTAAAATAAAAAACAGTTGTTCAGGGCCCTTCGTGTTTTTTTTCCCCTCTTATAAAGACTCTTCTTGGTATTCTCCCTTTTATTTAAGTTTATTACATATAAATAAGTTTCTGAATAAGAAAAATTTAAGGGAGATGAGTGGAAAATTTTAAGGAGGCTTGATTTTCTTATGTTCTATTTGGATGAAGATAAAACATGAAAATAAAGAAAATATGAGAGAAAAATAGGAAAAAAATATAAGTTTCTCCTTGTCTGGGCAAGAAAGAAAAAATGAGTGGAAAAAAAATGAAACGTGAGATTCATTACATTTTTTCTTCGCTTATAAAACAAGTAAATTTTTTTCAAACATCTATTCTTTTCTCCCTCTCGCTCTCTCTCTCAACTCCGAGAACCCACCTTTAACCTGTGCAACAGCTTCATTTTCAGCAGCTTCATAATTGTGTTTGCCGTAGTACTCTTTGACCAAACTTCGTATGGTAATACAATTTTATTATATTTTACTTTATGGTTAGCTCTTGACGGTGGGATGGCAAACTTGGAAGAAACACATAATTGTGTGTTACGGAGAAATTCTTAAATCAATTTTGCCTTCAACTTATTTTCTGTAAATTAAATTATATAACATCCTTAATTTTAATTTTCCCAAGACATGATAGGTCAAGGTCCTGGTTTTTCTAAAGTGTAATAAATCATAGCAATATTATTGGCCTCCTTGATCATATTTTTTAACAATCAATTTGATTATATTAGTTTTAATATAATTCTTACTTTCAATTTATTTTTTTACAAAACTAATTATATGAAACATGATATATTTTGATGTAAGGCTATTACAATCATAATGATATCTATTCATTTTCTTTTTTTTTATTTTTTTTTATCCATCCAAATATAAAGAGTGATAAATTTTTTTTAAAATTTTTTCTTTATTTCATTTTTTCTTCCTTCATTTTTTTTTCTCACAACTTTTTTTTTCATCTAAACAGAAGGTTAGGGTGAGGGCAATCGAAAATCTTAGGACGGTTAATTAAAAATTTTTCAGGGTATAATTTTTTTTTTTAATTTTTCTCTCATCTAGTGGGGCCAAATGCCTCCTCTATGATGCATGTAAGTCTATCCCTGCATGTATGGGCGCATTCAGTACAATATTAATAAGTAAGATCATTTCATATAAACAAAATCTAAATCGTAGTGGCCGGCCAATTCAAGGGTTTCGTTTCTCTACACTCAGAACTCCGAACAAACACAGAATTACCACACGACTTCTCCGGACATCAAAGCAGGAAATATTCCATGGAGTCAGGTTTGCATCCACACGGTCGCCTGAACATTCATAGCAGAGGTTCAACTTTTTGTTACTTTCATGCCAAGAAGTTTGATGCCTCGCAGACGCTCCATGGAATCGTGTGATACTATAATTATGATCAGGATCCTGTCTGAGCATAGAATACTTTTTAAATTGATCACGTCAATGTAAATATGCAGTTTCATGTGTTTAGTATTAGCTATACACACCATTGGCATATATTGTAGTGAAAGGAGTTAGCTCTTCATGCATTGCAATGAACAAAAGTTTAAATTCATGCTAGAAAAGATGTACGTGTTCAGTAAATAATCATGTCTCAATAAAATTATTTTCAATAGGGTGATACATGCGTAAAATAAAAAAAAAAATAGTACATCATAAGTTCATGATCTTAGGATGCCTCGTGTACCTGTACAAAATCCTAAACGAAACTTGTTGCGGACCCATGAATAGCATGCCTTCTTACTATTTAGGACAACATGCAATTAAATATTTTCACATGTTTTACTATTAATTTTGAATAAATTTATAGCACATTTTACTGAAACATGAAAGAAATTACGCTGAATTTTAATATCTATATAATAATATCAACAACACCAGATTTATTTTTATTGAAATTTGAGCCGGGAGAAGCAACCCAATTCCCCCGTACAAGGACAAGACCGGACCGGGCCATCCATCTGGATAATACTTAATTTGGGCCTCACAACCTAGATAAAGCCCATATTCTTTTTATGTCTTTTTATGTCCTGGATAGTCCACGTGAAAGGATGGTGTTGCCTATTTTCCCTGGGGTAAATAAAATTGAAGGATTGGAGACCCATAACAGTGTGTACCTGCCAGCATGAATAATTAAATCAAACACAATAAACTGTACAAGCATTGCGGAGAACAGGGCATGGTGGTGCAAACATGTCAGCGCCAACTCGGCTACTTTCTATGCAATTTATGGGTAACACAAGGTGGGGAATTCGCACGTTGAAACAAGTATAACTGTGTAAAAACGGAAAGGCATTTAAATTTGCGAACCACAACTGGGCAATCAAGTGTCACTTTGGCATCTGTGGAGGTGTGACAAAGAACTTGCAGGGAGAATGGATCTTAGGCTTTCAGAAAAAACTTGGACTCATGAGTGTGGTTACCGCTGAACTACATGCTATTAAGACTGGATTGAAAGTCTGTCAATCTCTTGAACTTACCAAAGTGAAGTTGTTTTCAGATTCCCTTGAAGCCATCAATATTCTAATGAGGGATGGGGGTGATGGACACAGATATAAATATATCATGGAGGATACTAGAAATATGATTTTTGATGAGTGGGAAGTGAGCATAAATTAATCATGTATAGAAAGCTTAAAAGTTGCAGATTATCTAGCTAGGAGTGCCACTGAAGGGGAAATGATGATGCGGTTGATCTCGGTCATTCCTGATGAATGCAAAATCTTAATGCAGGAAGATGCAAATGCTAACAGTTAATTGATTTGTGATTGTGTCTTAGGGCTTTATTTTGATGTAACTACCTTCAAGATGCAAGCTTGCCACTTTTATACCCCAAAAAAACAAAGTATCACTTTGAAAACTGAAAATGGGCCTCCTGGCGTGGGTGTTGATGGGAGCTTCAGCGGACACGCTCCGAATATAGGCGTTCAGGGCCTTGCTTATCGCAAATCAGGCTCTGAGGCCTGAGCTCACCGAACTTGAAGGTGAGACTCGCCTCAAAGCCTCTCCTTTCCCCCTCGGATCTCAACGATGCCATCACCGCCGCTTCCCTTCGTTTTGATCGTTTCCTTCCCCGCCCCAACATCCATTTGTCTCTGCTTTCTATTTGTCCTGTCTTATTTTCCCATTCTAAATTATATTCCCAACTACATTTTAGAACTGTGCAATGTAGAGGAGCATTAATCCACTTTATTTTTAAAAAAGAAAGGATAAAAAGAGTGGAAGTTAAATTTATTATTATTTTTAAATAGGACAGGTAAAAATAATTGTATTTTTAATTTCTTTGACAATTACTATTAACTATATATATTTATTCCTATTACAATATGAGATGTTTTTTTTTTGGGAAAGAGGCAATTAAGGATATCATTAATTATAATTAAAAGCTATAATTATTGAAATTTCAATAATAAATCACAATTCTTACTTGAAATTAAAAATATATATAAGCTTACAAAATTGCACTCGAAAATTCAAAAAAGACACTACTAGAATTACTATAACGGGTTGAGATTATTATTGATCTTAGTTGAAAAAATCAAGACCCACACTTAAAAATAGGTCATTTCTTAATATGAAATTAAAATTCACTTGTAAAATTTTTAAAAGGTACTCATGAATACAAGATATTCACTTTAATAAAATTATTAAAATCATTTTTAAATGTGAAGCCAATCAATTGTAAATTTTTTTATTATCAATATATAGATAAACCACTTAGAAAATCAAGAAAAGATTCTGTTGAAATTTCTATCATGAGTTGGGTTATTGTTAATCTCAATTGAAAAAATCAAGATCTCAAATGTTTTAGGTTGGAATTACTGAAATTATTATTATAGGTTGGGACTATTGTTAATTCTATTATCAAGTTTAAATCCTAGTTTTTTCAATTAAGATTAACAATGGTCTCAATTTATAATAATAATTATAGCACTTGAAAGTAATTTTATAAACTCACATGTGTTTTTAATTTCAAGGATCATAATTCATTATTAGGATTTCAATAATTTAGGGTCCCTGATTCTAACTAATGATCTTATGAGGTCTTTAATTTTTTTCTCAATTTTTTCTAGTTATTAGAATATACAAAGATAAATAATAATTTATTTTCTTTTCACACAATTTATTTTAGAATATACAAAAAATATGACTAACATTTTAATTTATATAAATTATAGAACTAGTTAAAGTTGGTTTGTGTGACAAGAACTTTCGAGTAATTAATGAATCTCAATCCCTGTATATACATGTGTGTACAGTAAATTAATTGAAAAATGTCTATCATTTATCATCATTGCCTCTATAAATCAAAACAAAAATTAATAACTAATTCTTTAACACCGCAGGTAAAAAAATGTTAACATAATATCATAAAATTAAAAAATAATATATTTTAAAAATGAAATTTAAATTTTAAAAAGATAAAACATGAAACATAATTTTAATTTTATTTTATATTGTTAAAAATTAATTTTAAAAGAAAAAAATTTAAATTTATAGAAAAATAATTGCATTGAATGGCATTGTAAATTACAAAAGAGGAGAGATTTAAAGTGTATTTGGATAACCCACTTTTAGTATTTGAGAAGTACTTTCTCATTGTTGGGATGCAAAATATTGTTTGAATAAAAAATAAATAGATAAAGTGCTTTATAAAAGTATTTTGAGAATGTTATTAAAAATAAATTTGATAAATGTAAGATGATCAACTTTTGAAAAGCAAATTAAAAAGTGAGGTGTACTTTGACCATGATATCTCAAGTATAATCTATTATTCTTTTATTTAAAAACATTATTAATTCATTAAAATATAATATTTATTTAAATAATAATAATTAGAGATTAAGTTTTTAGCATTATATATTAAATAATTAATCATGTTAATTTTTAATATTAATATATTCATCTATTTATAAAATTTTTGTCCAATAAATTAAATTTTATATTTTATACTCATGTTATTTAATATATCTAATTTTACGTTATTTAAAATGTTTGCCAACTAACAAAAGTTGGTTTAGTTGGTTAATTTTGTTGAATAAAAAACATATCATGTATATATATATATATATTGAATTATGTTGATTTTTAATATTAATATATGTTAAATTATTTATCATATGAGTTTTCAACATATCAAACTTTATATTTTTTATTCTTATCATCTAACATATCAAATTTTATATTATTTTAAATTTTTTCACTTTTTTTAAACATTTGTAATTATAATATATTATATTTGTATAACAAAAATTATAAATTATCATAAATTAATATCATTTTTATTATTTTATATTCAAAATTACATTTTGAAAGTATAAATCACCATTAATTTAAAAAATTTTTAGTTTATTAAACTGACTTTTAAAAAAATATATTAAAATACAAATTTTGTTTTGAATTTCACTCAACTACTTCCTCTATTTTTATATATAAGAAAAAAAATTGTATCATACAGTTTAAAAAAGTTTTAATGTAATAATTATGTTTGAAAATAAAAAAATAAACGAAAATATCTTGCATTAATCGATATAAGCATGCATTAATTATTTCTCATCACTGTAAATTATGAAAGGTAATTTAAAAAATGAGTAATTTTACTTATAAAAAATAAAAATAAAAATGATAATTTTTCTTACAATAAAAAATGGAGGGACTAATTTTTATCAAATAAACTTTCAATAAATGTAATTTTGATGAACTAAAAGCTAAACTCACACTTAAGCCTTTCATGTTATACGTTTAGAATAATAAAAAAAAAGATGTTCAGTTACCTGAATTAAGATTATAACAAATTCTGGTCCGAAATTAAGATCGCGTTAAAAATTCCGAAATAACTAATATTCTGAATCAAAATCAGAATTACAGAGTGATGGATAGATATTTTTGAAATGGAGCGCTAATTAAACTAAACTAAATTCTCCAAGCGTCCTTCTCCCTGACCTCATCATTTTTGTTAAACATTAAAATTCAAGAAAAATAACGTAAAACTCGAAAACACGTTTGAAGTCGTGAGTTTTAAACGGGAAGACGATGACTAACTGAACAATGAAAGGTCGCCCTCCCCTGAATTTTGACTAACCATTAAAGTATGTTGAAGAGGGTGGAAATAGCAGGCACAATGGCACATCGAGATTTATTGAATATTTAATTTAAGTAATAGGTAGCGTGTTGGTTGGCCATTCACAACATTAACGTGCAGCGAATCGTTGGGTGCGGATGACTTCACGGCAAGGAAAATAGGCAGGAGGCAGTGGCAGAGCAGATCCGTCAAGGCTGATGATTGACAAGCACTGGGGTCGATGGAAGATGAGATTTACAAACACGTGTGTCGCAAAGCAGCAAGGGAGTGAACTTCACAGATGCTCCGTGGAAGGATGGGCGACGCCAAGTAACGAATCCAACCCCAATTTCAATTTTTCACTGCCACCTTCTACCCTCTCTCGCCGCCTCCATCTCTTCCCCTGTCCCCTTTATTTCCATTAAAAAAAACTAACGAGTCAACGATAATCGTTCAGGTTTCCTCTCTTATATTTCCCCCATCCACAATCTTGGAGTGATCAACGACAACCAGAGCCATGGAGGCGCCCCAAACCGAAGGGATCGCCACCCACGAGCAGGGCAACAAGACCAAGAATCAGGTAACCTTCAGCGCTGGCAGAGGGGGTGGCGGTATTGCGGGGCTCCTCGTCTTTGGCGGAGCCCTGGCCGTCACCGGTCTGATAGCCGTTGCGTCTTTTGTCAACCAGAGAAATAAGGCCAGGCCTCCTCCCCACGAACCACAACAATCTGACGGCACTCCCAGAGGCATTCCCTGTCTCCTGCATTCTGCCGCCAATCATGACAATGCACGGTATACCCAAATCTGATCACCCTTTACTATTATCGTCTCTTTTGCTCATGACACGAGAGTCTGTTTGTCTTTTTTGTTGTTCTATTCGTTCGTCATTTAATTTTAGCTGCTTCACCAGATATGAAACATCAACTACGAGAAAAGACCGAGTTGATTTGTGTGAGTCACTCCCCGGCCAATCTTTAATTCTGGTAATACATTTCTTCTCTATCATCGTTCATATTTTCCGGTTAAATTATATGCTGTGCTGGTCTTTTGGCTTTAGACATAACTTTGAATAAGTCTGTGAATTTTGGTTCAGGAGGACGAGCCTGGCCTTGAGGTTAAAACCTACGTCGAAGAGGAGAACGTGACGAGTTTGCATCAGGAGATTGTGCTCTCTGATCATTCGCCTCCAGAAAGTACGGTGTCGTTCAATGATAACGGGACCGGGGAAGAGGCTCTGGGGTCCTCCGTTGACGGCCCCTGTTTCGAGGACGTGGCTCGGATTGAATCCCGAGAGCCCCTAAAATCTGTAGGGATCAACGAGGTGCAGCACGACAACGACTATGCAACGACTGAAACAGAAGATGATATTGTCGAGGAAGACGACGATGTTGCCTTTAAGAAAAGTGAAAATAGCTCAGAGGCAACGGAGACTGCAACAGAAGAAACAGAAGATGATATTGTCGAGGAAGACGACGATGTTGCCTTTGAGACAAGTGGAAATAGCTCAGAGGCAACGGGGAGGACTTCCCTGGATTCCAGTGAGGCAGCAATTTGGCCAGCAGAGTTGATAGAGGAGGAACCCCAACAGGTCAAGGGAAAGATGGTCAATGACCAAGGCGAAGCGGAAGGTACAGCCGAATCAAATATCCCTCCTAGGTATGATCAGAGTCACGGTGGCGCCAGCGGTTCCGAATTTTCTGACCATGCTGGGAATGACAGAGTAATGGCATCCGCAAAAACAACTTCGTCCGAGAAACCAAATTTGTATGTGGCGCTGAATTACCATCTGTCTGCACCGAAATTTAAAGCCTCGGTCATACTTTTGCTGCTATTTGCGTTCCTGATTCTTGTCCTGCTCACCCATCGCAATCGCACATCAGGGATGGTGGCAATTCTGTAATATCTCCATGATTACCGCGGACCAGATGTTAAAGCAATTTCTCGGACGACTAGGTAGTACCACTTGTATTCACAGGACCACATGCATTCTGTCAACGCAAGTGATAGGGCTTATCAGTTTTCTTTTCTTTCGAGGGGGTAATATTTTGTCTGTTCTAGAGGCTTTGTATGAATCAGAACTCAGAACTTTCAATGCCGTGTTACAAGGTACCGTCACTATCAAGTATCAACTGTAGTGGTGAGAAGCGAAATTATTTTCGACATATCAACGTGTTTTAACTTCTATAAGATTGCAATGGAGGTTGCCTTTTTTTTTTTTTTTTTAATCACAAGCGTGAATAGAGCAACTGTATTGAACCCGCGATATCAGTCGCTGTTGACCAGATAATCAAAACTCAGATCCTTAACTGCATGATTCTTGCAATGTTGAGAACGCAAAGACTGCTTTATTATTCGCCTTGAATAATGTAATTTATCACAAACTTTCTCTATAATATACAGAAAAGCGCATATAATTTCAAAGAATCACACCAAACCCGCCATATTATGAGTACCCACTTCCTGTCAAATTCTTGACCAGTCCATCCAAACCATCAGGCATGAGGAAGATCGTTTTAAGGAACAGGTCAGAACAACGTTTTCAGGAGAGTGTAGCTATATATTGAAGATTCGTTTATGCACAAACGGCCTTTACAGTGGATAATCCTTTATCCTTCACGACTTCAACCTCCCTACCACTCTTTCCTATATACAATGCCTTGAATTTAGAGTATTGGCTCAACTGGATTCTGCTGGTTTATTCAGCTAGAGTTGACACAAATATGAGAATGGATCTATGGAAAGAACACTTGCGGACAAAACTTTGTTCCCACCTATGCAAATGGTTGGGCGATGTAAATGCTGTAGACCTTTGGCCACTGCCATCAACAAGCATTGGAGGACTTGTAATTTTCCATCAAGCTTGGCCAGCTGCAACCGGTAGACCATCCCAAAACACCAACTATCAGATCTACTTTTTGGCAAGCACCAACCTGCGAAACGTTGTTGTTTGGTATAAGTTGAGCAGAAACGCGATCAAACGAATGCAAAGATTAAACACTGAGCGTAATAACAATTTCTGAGACACGATACGGTACCAAACTCTCCAATTTCCCTTCAATCTGAAATAACATGACAGCCAATCCCCTTCCGTCATCAATCTCAGCCTGGTCATTTTATGAGTCAAGTTTTACATATAAGCATATCCAAAAACAGCACTGCAAGCGTACAAGTCAAAGCCAAATATACAAGGAAATTTAACTCGTCCCTGGACCAAGTTTCACCACTTACCACACAAGAACATATGGATATGCTTGCAGCGGCCAATGCTGTAGTGACCTCCGCCATGATGCCTGAAATCATTGCTTCCCGAGTTACAATCAAGATAGTGAAATTAGGTTGTATGTCATGCGTCAGATGAGACAAGTCATTGACGGAAGCTGACTAGCGGGAGTCTTACAAAATTGGAACAAGACAAGCTAAACATATTCTTTCTAAGATTCATTTCATACCCGAGACATCAAAATACGTTAAAGTATTCCAAGGTCACAACAAGGTCGAGACATCCATATCACAGGCATGGATGCCATGCATACTAGCAAAAGAAGCGGATGGCTTGAATTGACAAATTGACAAAGAAAAGCTCACCTCTTCGATCGATGCATACTACACAAAACCATTGAATGGAATGCCCTTCTATATTGTGCCAAGAGGCAATTTTCTGGGTCTGCCAACTTTCTAAACCTGGCAGAACTTCCTTATATCTTGGAATATTAAACTGAACCATATGGGCAACATGGTTTCCATACAGCAACAACTCTCCGTTGCTCTTCAAACCAACATGTTTGTTATGCTTTCCATTGACCTTAGGGGTCCAAATGCTGCCATTACTACTTGGGAGGTCATCTCCCGAGGATGAAGTTTCTACACCATTCATAAACGTCTTCCCCAGCATAGGTTTGAAACTATTAAAACCATCTAATGGATCTTCAGATTCACTATCCCCTTCAGAATCAGCTACAAAGTCACTGACTGCATCTGTAGTGATATCAACAGCAGAAAGTGCTGCCTGTTCCCTTAGAAACTACAAGATATAATATGACCACTGTCAGACGCTCAGAGCACATGTTTTTCAGAGGCCGATAGTTCAAGCTCCACATTCAAGATTCATTCTATAAATGCCTACCTTCATTATTTTGTGTCTTGCACTACGTGTTTTAGCATGTTGCAACCATTGCTTGTGCCTCTGAAAAGCTGATTTACTGGAAAGTGCCTGGTAATAGCAAAGTTCCAGGATCTAATGAATTTGTAAGGCAAATATGTGGTAACAGTAGAGTTGTTTCTTTCTTTCTTTCTTTCAAGTCATTCTAAAAAAACAGAAAAAAAAGTGTAGTTTAAATAGGAGTAATACACTGATCATGTGCATATATATGAATGCAACAATGAATTCCCTAACTAACAATTTAAAAAAAAAAGAAAAAGAAAAAAGAAAGCCAGCAAATCATCAGTTGAATTTAACGATTAAATAGATTGACAGGAGGATCTTCACACCAACCCCATCGCAAAGTAAATTTTTACTTTCACATATTTAAGAAAATAATCACTGTTCATTTATATAATAATCAAACAATGAAGAAAATAATTGGATCTGTTGAAAAATACTAACATCATATGTGATAATCTCCACTACTTCTGCATTTGCAAGTACGTGCGTTGGAGAAACAAGATTACCGTTGACCTGCACTAACACCATGCTAGAAGTCACTAGCTTCCTTTTATTGTCATTTCATGATTGAACTTGTTTTCAAAGAAAACTGCCATCCAAATAACTAAATAAGGGGGAGCAATACCTTTGCAGCTACCATCTTGTTGCCAATTTCAGTGTGTATCATATAAGCATAGTCAATAACAGAGGCACCACCCGGAAGATTCTTAATCTGTTTATAATATAAGTGTCAAGAAACTAAGACCAATATTCTCACATAATCTTGCTGATTGTCTTTTTGAATGAATGGAAGGAAGAAAAAATAGCAATCTAAATATAACATACAAAATAATCCTCCCTTACCTCTCCTTTGGGTGTAAAAACAAAAACACGACTACCCAACAGATCTCTGGTAATAGTGTCTACAAATTCCCTCGAACTCATGTTGCCTACAAACTCTTCTTGCCACTCTCTAATAGCATTGAGCCAGCTAATCTGTATGAAAGTAGACGCTCCATCCATGAAATCACAATCAAGATCAAAATCTGGTGAAAAATATGCTAAGAATTCTCTTAAAGGATAATTTTCATCATAACGGCATACTCTGAGAGCAATATTTGCATTGTTAAGGCAGACGGTCTTCCCTCTTGAGCTTTTATTAGCAGGCATTGCACTTCCAACCAGGCCACTAACAAATTCTCTCCCACTATAATGTGCAGCAATCCCCCTCTCAGCTATCAAATCCATCGCCTCTGTTCTAATCTGCCAACAATAAATAAAACTTGCTAGAGTACAATGCATAAGATTTTAGCATTAATATTTAGTTTTTTTTTTTTTTTACAGGAAAGATGAAGGCAAATAGATTCAGCGAACTTAGGGAACTCATGAAAACGAAAATCATTACCTGGACTTCTAGTCCAAACATTCTCTGATACAAAAATGGAATCACAGTGGTATGGAGACTCTGGTAGCCATTAGGTTTGGGAGTTGCAATATAATCTTTCACCTATAACAAAACAGACAAAAAAAATTCACTGGGCATTGAAGAATTTGTTCCTTTTAAACTAAGCACTCCCACATAGGAGCAGAAGCATACTCACAGATCTAGGAATAGGTGTCCAAATTCCATGGACTAATCCCAAAACATGGTAGCAAATCTGCATAAAACATGTCAAAAACAACAGAAGGCCTTCTATTATACCAAGTGCAAGGTGGAGCAAATGCAGGCAGCAAATCGTGAGAATGTGCAGCAAATTACCTGTTGTGGACTGCACAGTGGCCCCACTCCAACGCATGCCTTTGGTTTTATGATAATACGAAGCTGGATATGTTTCAACAAACAAGTTTAAGGTTTTCTGAAAATTTCCTCACAACATATTAAGGCTAAGTTCAAGGCCTTTAAATAGTTAAGAATAACCTGTGCAATTTGGTTAATCTTGTTGATCGAACCGTTTGATTTGAGAACAGCTTTATAGATACTGCACATGACCAACAAAATTTCTTAAAGAACAACCGGTGAACCTTAGAATTGTTACCACAATATACAAAAAATATGTAAAAATAAAATAACTTTCCGTGAACAGTTTTAGAAAGAATAAGAAAAATATAATGGTTATGTGTGAAAATATTTGAAGGACACCTATGTCAATTATCAGAAGAGTCTCAACATGGTAAGGCTTTTGTTTTCTTTCAACAACCCAACATTAATGATTCACTGAAATAATTATGTTACAAGCAAGAAGAATGTAGTTGATTCGCTAGAAGAGCTACATATAGTCCATCAGCAAATCCTAGAGATTAATTTGATGGTCTAGTGCTTAAAACATAAATGACATTTAAACGAACATGATAAATGCATCAAAAAACATAAACATGTGGACTTATAAAATGGAAGCTTAGAGCTTTGTGGCATAACCTGTAAGGCTCCTTACACACAGCATGAACTTCAGTCTTCACAGTCAGAAGGTCTAAGAACTGATCATCTTGGATTTTCTTCACCAATATTTTCTTTGCCTATTTGAAAATGGAAAACATCAATTAGCAAACTAGCGCTGATGCATAGTCATCTAGTAAGTTTTCAATCCTGACATTTTGGATTTGACATCTCAAACTTGTAAAAATAAAATGTAGCCTGCAGGGATAACCTTCCCACTGGCCTGTCTGAACAACATTTCCAGATAGGAAGACCAATTTTACCTCCAAAAGTTCCTTCTCATGTTCTTTATAGAGATCTGCAGCTCTTCTCTTGACCTTAGCATAATCTTCAGCATTTGTGTACATGAATGATAGATTTTCTAGTTCTGACTGCATCATTAGAAAAGGCTCTGATATAGAAAGAAATCCTTCATACTTTATTTAGCAATACTAGATAAACTTCATGATTAGTTTCTACCATGAGCTCTACTCAAGATAGAGGCTCAGGACAATTATGAGACAAAATATTAATGCTAGGTCCCCAGGAATGTGAAATTGAAGTATACCTTGATTTGATACATTCCAAGTAACTTCGCCAAAGGGGCA